TCCCTGTGAGATAGTACATTGCACCACTCATTAATCTCTTGGACCCCATTCCCATACACATCATTGGTCTACATGGATCCACCCAACTCTGCAGGGAATCTCACCAGGTGCAGTCAGCATAACTGAATGATAAACCGGTTCATTTATATTAAGCTCCCATCAGAGTTGAGTTTTCTTTAGGCCACATAATTTATATTTATACACACGTATAAAAAAAAATTGGGAAACAGTTTTGAATAAATTATAAAATAACCATACGAGTTAACCAAATATTGATGGATAATGTAGCCACCATTTGTTACTTTTTTAATACACACTGAAGATTTTCCCACTACATTACATAGTTTTTAAATTATTGAAAAAAAATTCATGTTTCCAAACTTTTTCGGCCTAGTGTAAGTACTATGTATATATGCTTGAAAGTATGCAATAACAGTAATTAATTAATCTAACTTTGTATTCAATAGGTCCCATGGTTCTAGCCCAAACACTCTAGTCCAAATACAGGCAGTGCAATACATTTCTTTATTAAATACAAAATAATGATTAACAAAAAAACTTTTTTCAAGTCTTATTTTAGAAATATTAATGAAGAACTGACATAAACATTGAGTTCACTGTTTGGTACAAAGTAAAATGCACAGGTAATTTTATCAAATACAATATGAGCAAATGAATGGTATATTATTTGATAGATAAAGGGCAGTGGTCCACTGAAATAAGTGAAATGTCCAACCAAAATTACGCTGGAAAGGTTATCCAAATCAAGATGTTGCACGTTTCAAATACAATTAACACCTGCTATTGAAACATGCACATGTAAATATAGCAGAAAATGGTCAATACAACTTTATCAGTTCTAGTCCAATCCTTCCTCTGTTCACATCAACACTGACTACTTTAACTTCAACTTTGTCTCCTAACTCTAATGTCTGTTTTCCTTTCATGTTCTGTGGCCTCATCTTGCTGACATGTATTAGACCACTTTTTCCAACTCCTATGTCTACAAAAGCACCAAAATGGGTAGTGTTCTGAACACAGCCTGTGAGAAAAGTCCCACTTTTCAAATCATTGATTGATGTCAAACCCTTCTTAAAAAGAGGCTTTTCATAATCTGCAAAATAACGAAGAACTTATCATTAATATTTTTTTTCTCTTGTACAGTATATACTATAGGAAAATCCAACAGATACACCAAAGTACAACTGGCAGATTTTACAAGGTATGTTTGAATGGTGTGACACATATATAACTACAGGAAAAAATTTTAATTATTCTTAATATTTTACAATAAAAGGTCTTCATAACAGTGAAGGAATAAGGGGAACACTGGGGATGCATATTTTTCCTGAAACAATCCCACAAATTGGATCTAAAAAGTTGGATCTTTTACAAACTCTACTGGACTTACGAGGAATATGAAATAATAAATGCAAATGAGTCTGGAAAAGCCTTTACTGACATAAGCAGAGTAATGAGAGTTACAAACCATCTCTGATATCCTGTCCCAGGGGCTGTTTTAATCCATTTAATATTAAATCAAGGGTAGGAGCTCCTATATTTAAATCTTTTGCAACACTGTCCAGACCTATAAAGAAGAAACGAGGCATAAAAATACTAATCTCATTTTACATCTAAGAATATTATCAATACATTTATCTTATATCTACTTGAATAAAATCTATTTACTATTACTTTTTTTAAAGTTTTATAATGATCACTATAAAACATCTTTGACTGCAAAAAAATGTAAAAAAAAATCTGTACTTGCTGGAGGTAGATATAAAATTGTCCACTGCTCTTTGCATGGAAGGGTGACCAATTTCATTAGCTGTTATACCAATTTTCTTCAAAAGCCTACATCACAAATGAGATAAACAAAAAAGCCATATTTGCATGAAGTATTTATCTCCATTTTTATACAAAAAGTCTATGTGAATTTGAAATGAAAAAACATTGTTTAGAAAGATTGATTTGAATCATATAATTATTAACTACACAGCGCTTATTATATTTCCTCATTCCAGTGACACCTAAAGTTCATATACATCACTGAACACACCAGCAAATGGTCACTAAAATCTTTCAATGATTGTCTCCATGTGACATGTACTTTACCTATTTGTTACATCATAAGACTCTGGATGGATCCATGTCATATCAAGCCAATTAGGTGAAAGATTCTCATCCATCTTCTGTCTCTTACTGGTGCTTGTCTTTGAAACTGCTTTTCTTTTTGTTCCTTTGGCAATGTTACTAACAACTTCATCCTTAGGCTCTTGTCTGAAAATTCAAATAGGTGGGGAATATATCTGATGTTTTGGCATTGGTGATAATATTGAAACTGGATTGGTTCATTTCGCAGAAACACTTTCAAGCTGATAACTTATAATGTTATTTTACTTCAGTTTGTTTGTAATGACAATTTGATATAAATAACAGACTTATTCTCAAAACCCAATGGTTCATTATTATAATAAAACACATAAACTGGCATAATCCGATTTCCCCTTAAAACAATATAGCAATTTAATCCATTCTCTAAATTTTTTAAAGATTTAGAAAAAAAAAGAATAAAATATGTTTTAGCACATTTAAACTTGTAATCTCTCTTTTCACATCACCTTAAATGATCGAATGCCAGACTATTTCTGTTTTCCTTTTTTTCTACTGTATAATGCAGGCTTCCTTCTTTTGTTAAGCAGATTCATTTTTTTCAAAGAGGCAGCGGTCAGGCTGGAATGGTCAATGTGGTAATATTTCCGAGGACCAAAAAGCAATTAAAAGCTCCAAAAGGCACTCACACATGGTTTGTATTTGTGGCACCAATCACATTTGGTGTAATCCTCACAAAACCAGCACACTGCTCAAATGACTTTGGCCCTAGTCCCTTAACACCAAGTAGCTGCTGTCTATTAACATATGGCCCATTCTTTTCTCTGTATTCTATTACTTTTTTAGCTTTGAGGGCACTCATGCCAGACACACGTCTGAAATTGAAATAGTTACATATTAAAATTCTTGGTTACCTGCATGATAAGGTTGACTGCAAAATATTTTAAGTTTGATGGGTGGAACAGGAACAAATCAAGTTTGCTTACTGTTTAACAAAATTAATGGGAACTATATTTGGTGGCAAAAGTAATGAAACAATGAAATACAATATGTTATTTAAACATAAATAAATAAATAAATAAAAATAGTCATACTGAAAACTTAATTTCTTAATATTACAATATGATAATTAAATATTTTTTCTCTACAATACTCACTTTAGTAGAGATTCTGTGCAAATATTGAGATCAATGCCCACGAAACTGACACATTCTTCTAGGACCCCATCCAAACTAGATTTCAACTGAGAATCGGCTACATCATGCTGTAAAATAGACAAATAATACCAAAATGAATAAAATTTGATAATCAAAGGACTAGAGCTCGTTTCCTTAATGATTCTACAAATGTAAATCAATATCTTTCCAAATAAGTTATCTATTTGTGGCGTTAAGTTGCAAGTGATAATATGGACATCATTTAAAAATGCAAAGGATATCCTTGATTCATTTTAGGCTATACATTATCCTTTTACATCATTTCTCAGTCAAGATTTTATCAAACCTGGTACATTCCAACTCCAATGTGCTTCGGCTCAATTTTTACTAGCTCCACCAAAGGGTCTTGTAATCTCCTCGCTATAGACACTGTTAAAATATTTTTCATCAATAGACTTAAAACTCCCTACAACCTTTCTGCAAATATGAAACCATACAAGTAAAACTATTTATATATAGAACCAAAGTCTCAATCACTTCATAACTGGGATATGATCCTGTAAAATCTATACTTAGAACTATACTCAAATGGAGCATAGATAACTGCTTTGCCTTATTATTTTAGTTACAGCTCAGTTTGTGAATAGTTGTTTCAATAGTAAATGCACATTTACTTATTTTAACACAACTGGGTAAAACCATTTACTATCTAAACATACCTGCACTTCTTTCATTTGGATCTAATTTTGGCATTTCTTGTTCAGCTTCTTTGGATACACTGTAGATAGAAGCTCCATCCTCATTCACTATACTGGAATCAAAACTCATATTATCATTTCAAAATATGTTACAGTTATCCTTAATTTCTAACATGTTTCCTTTACCTTCATGAGAACAGCCTCAAGAATAATTTTGCACATCTGAAATGGCCTTATTCACAGAACGTGATATAAAATTTACTAAAAGAAATCAGTCACAACCTCAGTCCATCACAGCATCTATTCATTCTATTCACATCAGCAGGTACTGGGTACAAAGTGTAAACTTAATATACAACATCCACATAGCTTACCAGTACATAACACTGAGAGGAGCAAAGTATCTCTTTTGAATCATGTCTGAAAATGCAGCTTCAGTCTCCCTACAAGCGGTTCCATTACCTATGGCTACAGTTTCACATCTGTTGGGGGAAAAGGACAAAAATGAGTGTCATGTTGAAATACTAACAGTTAAGTGTTACATGATTTTGTTCAAAGTTAAGTATCACAGAGTGGGGATAAAGGCAATTTTTAAAATCTCTCACTCAAATGGGGTATAATAAAGCACATTATTAAATCTAAAGGCCACAATTTTGAAATTCCTTTACCACTTTAGATTTTTCATATTCAAATTGACAAAATATGTACAACAAGAAAATAATCTGTATATACCTGTACTTTAAGCATATCTCCTTTATTTTCTCTCTCTCTTTTTCAGCAGCTCGTCCTACATGTAGATAGCTAACACCAGTTTCAAGAATCTGACCTGGAAATGTAGAAGTAACAATTTCACAATTTTGTTGAAGTATATTCAGAGTAAAATCTGAAATTCCACATCAAATGGTAAATTATGTTAATATGTACAAATAACAATATGTATCAACTGAACAATTCAATATAATTTTAACTTCCATATTATCTTTTTCCCTAAAAATCATCATTACACTAACAACTACCTTTCTACTCAATTGCAACTTATCTTTTCCTTTCTCAAGTTATATGGGACGAAGATATCATAAGGAGTGGAAAAATTATTACTGAGGAAAAATTCAGTAACATAGTCTATTCTAAAACAGGATATTTAAAAAAATTGTAAAAATAAAAAAAGGAAAATGTTTAACATTGCCAAAATCATACAGTTTTATAAAATCTTTCCTATTACATTTAAGAATCACATATCAAGCTACATCAAAGAACTGAAGTACAGCTACCTGTCTGGGATATAACAGCCAATTTACAGCCATTCTTAAATCCTGGGTCCACACCAAGTACCACCCTGTTTCTCACAGGTGGCATGAGCAAAAGTCTCTTCAGGTTTGAGGCAAATACTTCAACAGAAGCCTTTTCTGCCATCTTGGTCAACTCAGATCTGGATTGAAGACAAGGAAGAATATAAAACAGCAGTGATTATAAATGACAGTTAAAAACTGTTTGTTCCTAGAGATCTTTTTAAACAAAGAAACCATAATATGTTACTAAAAAGGTCAATCAAAACATCTGGCAACTTCAAAACCAGTGAAAATTTCTCTCATCTTATTTTAACTGAGAATACAAAGAGACCTGTAGTCTTTAAACGGTCCAAAATTATTCTCTATTGTACCATGAAAGGCTTCGGATAATTTTAGTTAATTTCAGAGACAGACCTGTAGTGTCTACACATGAGTGGAGAAATAAGTCTTGTGTATGCATCCTCTATAGCATCAGAGATGAGTTTCCGGAGGTGTGCACTGGCTTGAGGAGGAATCCATCTCCTCTGGCAGTATTGGCAGAAACTTTGCTTTACTTGTTCTGGGATGTTGACTTTCACACTCAATATCTTTTGGTGCTCGCCTCGATTCATTGCTAAAACCTTTGAATTAATAAAAGCCAAGTAGAGTTAATTGAAATCATCATTGTCCCAGAATTTTATTGAATAAAACTTCAATTTTGTAAAAAGAGGAGTATTACAATACATGTTACCTGATGTGGCTTGGCATATTTGACTGGCACTTTGAAATCAAAGTATTGTTCATATTTTTGTGCATCTGCTTTTTTGTCTTGCTTAGACGTCTTTTCATTTTTCTTCTCGACAATATTCTTTTCTGATCCAGCAGCAGTTGAGGTAGTCTCCTTGGATTTTGTTTTCTTTGTTAGACTTTTAGACATTGTGCTTTCCAGCGTAATATATGCATGTTGGCACCTGAAATTAAAAAAAAAAGTTTATGGTATTACTAAATTTGTAGATTCAAAATTTCAGTGTATTTTAACAAGTGCTCATGCAAAGAGAACTTCCCTGCACCATTTGTTATTCAGTGCACTTACAGGTCTCTCATTTTATCCATGGTTTCCTTATTCTTAGCAATGACATCTGCAATGATATGCTTTGTGCCCTCCTCCACTTCTGAAACTGATGATAAACCTGGAATTAAAAAAAAACATGGAATCTTTGAATATCTTAACGGACAGGACCATGAAGAGAAAATGCCTCTGCAGCTTTTATGTAACAGTCCAAGTGCTCAAGATAAAAATACAGAAGTAACTGGTTTACAACAGAAATGTTTTAAGGTATGCAAAATTTATCTGGAACTGCTTCATATAATAATTTTCTTGCTAGAAGTATGCACTGTCTAGTCTTAGACACTACAAGAAATCTGATAAGGAGACTCCCCCCCCCCCCACACGCACACACACCATGTATGTTTAATGACAAAAATGCTGTGATAAAATTTGACTGGTAAATTTTTCACAAGTGCACACGCATACATCGAACAGACAGCACATGTAGTTACAACAAGATACCTTCCTGTCCAGCTTTGACAAACATATTCAGATCCACAGTGTTTGGAGACTGCAAAACCTTCATAGCCAGAGGCTCCAATCCCAACTCTCTAGCTCTTTCTGCTAGTGATCTTTTGCTGCCAGGCTTGTAAGGGGCATACTGAAAAATAAATAGAAGGTAGAGTACAAAAATAATAGAGGTTAAGAAACATCAGCAGCATTTTTGAAGGATTTCACAAAATCCACTTCAAATTAAGATTTTTCATAGGTGTCATGTTTATATTACTCTAACTTGATATTAGAGAATGGTTCATATATACATTTCAAATATATAATGGTATGGTAGCATGATACTGACCAAGTGATCCACTTCTTCAGCGCTCTGTGCATTTTGGAAAGCAGCTTGCAGTTGTGGGTTCATTTTCCCAAGCTTTTCTATGCTTTTGCACACATTGTTTATTTTCGATATCAAAGTCCTGTAATGATGGAATAAAATTAGCTAAGAAACCAACACAATTGGATCCTTAATTGATTTTTTTCTTTTTTTTTTTTTTTTTTGTCCCATGTTACATGCAACTCTCCTCAGGCAGGTGTGTTTAGGGATGGGTTAGGGTTGTAAATCTGGTTCAAATTTTTTGGCAAGTTACAATGTACTGTACATTGTACATACATGTATACTTACAGTGCCTCAGTTTCCGGCCTTAGATGCAGGTAAGGCCTCATAACACACAGTGTTACAAACTCTTGAGGCTATAAATATCAACCAACTGTCAAAATTGTGTATCCTCCAAGGCTCAATCGCACTTTTTAGTATATAGTTCACATTTGGATTCCTTTTGTATCAGTTCATGCACATGCTTGATAAAATTTTAGTCTTTTTATTATAGGTATATAGCAACTAATACTACATATGCATGCTACTTGAAGGTGACGTCACATCTGATGTCTAACATAGGGTGAAATGAGGTCTTACCTGCAAAGCATCGAAGTTTGAAAACTGAGGCAAATACATACGTTCCAGAAAAAAAAAAAAACATAACAGGTTACTGGTATGGGTAACTTTGACAGATACTTACTTCAAGTCTTGATGAAGAGCCAAAATCTCTCTCAATTTATCAACAGACATGTTGTTTGTCTGTTCTTTTCTATACCTTGCAATGAATGGTATAGTATTGTCTTCGTCTAACATGGTAATTACATTCTTGACTGCCCATTTTTCCAGATGCAGTTGTTCCACTATCAGGTCAACCGAATCCCAGTTGACTGTAAAAACCATGCTGAAGGAGTTCTACAAATTACAAATAATCAAGAATAACAATAACATATAATATGAAATGGCACTGGGAAGTTGTATTTAAATTACATGTGCAAAGAGTAGCACAGGTTTGAGCCAAGATTACACTCTAAAGAATTCCAGAAATTTTCTTGGGTGCTAAACTATCAAGAAAAATATTACTTATAAAAATAACAATAAAAACCCGACAGAACACTGGCACCTCCACACACACCTGCAACTCGCGGGCAGTGATGTTTTCTTCATTGGCGATAGGTGGCAGTCAAGCACTAACTTTTGAAAAACGATCTGATTTCCGCTGACAGTAGTAATAATATGATGTCATAAGTGTTATATATCTGGAAAGCCATTTATGTAAATGTACCCCTTGTAAGCTAACGTTAACACATGTATATGAACCAGCTTGGTAAACGAAAGTACCTGTGAATTGTCTTGATGAAGACACCACCTATTGCTTGAAATGTGAAGATGGCAGTGCCAGTAACAATACAGGTGGGAGGTGTCAAACGTTTTGCTGAAGCTTTTGGAAAGGAAGCGATGACAAGATGTTCTTTTGCTTTTACAAGAACACACATACACAATAGAACATATTCGTCGACAAGGTAACGTTTCTTTCAAAAGATTTATAAGCAAAAGCGCAGTGCACCTGCATCATGTTATCAGCTGATTGCTGTATACACTACAGTACAGTATAGTCCATGCACTTAAATAATACAAAGATTATACAGTATAAATTATTAAAGCGCTTGTATAAGTTGTAAACGTGTCAGTTTTATATGTATTTCGTCATAAGTTGATGAAACATATGTGGTATTATAATTTAATCGGATTTTTTTTTCGTAAGACGAAGGTCATTTAAGGTGACCAGAATAAAAAACGGGACAATCCAGTGGATTTTCAAACTTAAATCAATAAATTGATGAAGGGCTAGTATCTGTGCTGAAGATGAGTGTCAGGTCATCTTGCTGTAAAAGTTTCTCCTACTCTTCCTTTATCCAGTATATTTATAATGGACACACAAAACAGAACGTTTAAAAAGAGGGGGGGGGGGGGGGGGTGTACATAAAATTTTATGATACTGCAATTATCTTATAAATTTGATATGTTTTGATTCCTTTGATAATAATTATAATAAAGTAAATTATACAGTGAATAAAAGTGTTGTTTGGCCTGTGTTACCTTAAAATACTATATATATATATTTAAAAAATTTTAACCATCAAACACTATAAGTGTGTCTATACATAACTGGGCTGTATTTCTTATACATAGAGAGGCTGTGCTATAGTAATGATACATTTTGACTTCTTTTCATTGCATTCTTTAATTTTCAGTACCATTCCTAGTTATGATATTGTAATTGTTGGTGGAGGTGTTGTTGGTTTGGGAACAGCCAGGCAGTTAGCTCTGAACCATCCCCAGTTAAAGCTAGCAGTGGTGGAAAAAGAAAATATTTTAGGTAAAGGATGGTTGTTTTGTTGTGTCAAATTCCATACAATATTCTTTGGTGAGTGAGGTTAAAATTTAAGAACAGGGCTCCTTTTTCCATTCCTTTGATGTAGAGCAATGTGTATGTCTGCCCAAAGATGTAAACTGACCCAGAGTATTTAATTAAGGTCACCGTCACTTAATTATGTTTGAATGTGGAAATATTTAGTGTTTATATGTTAACATATTTCTTTTTTTTTATTAGCTGCACACCAAAGTGGTAAGAACAGTGGTGTGATTCATGCTGGCATCTACTACACCCCTGGTTCATTGAAGGCAAAATTGTGTGTGGATGGTCTAAACCTTACTTACAAATACTGTGATGAAAACAATATACCATACAAGAAGTGTGGAAAAGTAATTATAATTTGTGGGATTTTTATTTTCTTTCTGGTTTTTAATGTCTTAAAATGTCTTGTTTCCTTAGCATGACAAATTTTACTATTTAAAATCTTTTATATGAGGTGGATTAAGCTGCATCTGTACTCTCATTTTATTTTCACAGCAACAGTATTGCAAGATATTACTTTTTAAGCAAAGATGCAAGAATGAGTTAAAAAGTGAACAATTTTTTAAAGGTAGCACAAAATTATATTGTTACCATTTTTATGGTTATTTAGCTTATTGTTGCCACTACTCCTGAAGAAGTATCACGGCTGGACAACCTATATGACAGAGGCCAAAAGAACAATGTCAAGGATCTTAAAATTGTGGGCCCTGAAGAAATTAGAGAGATAGAGCCAAATTGTCGGGTAGGGAAAAGGTCATTAGTCTCTGAATATAAAGTTTCAAAGAAGGGGATCTGAAAAGGACTGATTACAGGCCCGTAGCCAGCAATTTCAAAGGGGGGTGCTTTTTCTGAAAAAGTTGACCTTTTACCATATAAGCCCCATGTACCTAGGTCAAATTTTACCCAGAGTGGACCTTTTTCCAGCAAAAAGGGGGGGTTCTTTGCCCCCCCCCCCCCCCCCGAACCCCCCTGGCTACGGGCCTGGATTACTAGATTATTAGTTTCATCTTATGTAGCATAAGACTTGATCTTTCAGCAGCGTTATCCAGCTATTTTCTTAGTTCAAAACTACAAGAGCATGTGCTAGCTATAGATGCATCTTGTGAAGCGTAATAATTGCATTTAAAAACTAACACCGATTCCACAAGAGTGATTAAATGTGGAAATAAGTATAATGCTTCAGTTGTACTCATAAGATAGGCAATCAGAAGCAGCATAGAAATGTATAACAATCTCCGCTGAGTAAAATTAGTATAAAAGGGGTAAAAAGTTGCTACACATGCATCACTAGCATTTACATAAATTTCATATAGTAGTAATATTTCTGGAAATCAATCTTTTACAGGGTCTGCGGGCCTTACATTCCCCTCACACTGGAATTGTTGACTGGGGACTTGTGACCAGATCTTATGGAAAAACATTTGAAAATTTGGGAGGTCAAATATACACAAATTTTGAAGTGAAAGAATTTACAGCTACAAAGGAAGATGGGGATGGCATTCAATATCCTGTTACAATACTTGGCAAAGAAAAGGTTTGTACCCTTAATGAATTGTTAATTTTTATTTTGAAATTCAAAAGTGACATGCCGATTATTGTGGTTAAATAATTAAATAATGGGGTTACTTTGCGATGGTATAGTAGCCTCTGATCAGGTATTTCTTTTCTAGTTTTTGCTCCTCTATAAATTAATAATCATTGCATTATTTATTTATTTTATATATTTATTTAATTATTTATTTTGTAGAGTACACCATTGCAGTCCAAGTTTGTTATTGTGTGTGGTGGGCTGTACTCAGATCGACTGGCCAAAATGTCTGGCTGTAACCCTGAACCTAAGATTGTACCATTCCGAGGGGACTACCTTCTGCTCAAACCAGAGAAAAGGGACCTTGTCAGAGGCAACATTTATCCTGTGAGTTTTGTTACAGCTAACTTTTACCCCTAATAATATTTTGAATCTGACATAGGAAACCTCATTTTGAGGTGTTGGGCAAAAAAGTTAAGTTTTTTTTATCAAATGTATGTATTTTAGGTTCCAAACCCACTCTTCCCTTTCCTGGGTGTTCATTTTACACCAAGAATAGATGGAGATGTGTGGCTGGGTCCAAATGCAGTGCTTGCATTTAAAAGAGAGGGCTACAAGCTGCTTGATTTTAATTTCAAGGATTTTGTGGATGCTGCCAGCTACAGGTGAGATGCAGTTATTTTCAAAATGGCATTAAATTTTACATACTTTAGTTAAGGTTTGCTTTGTTTATCTGTAGTCTCAGAAGGTTATAATCTAAAAAAACGTGTTACCTGTACTATGATACTTAATTTGTTAATGTAATATCAAAAGGTATTTGCTCCTATTTTTTCAACTGCTGTAAGATAGTCAGGTTGACAATCATAACATTCTTGCATTGAATTGAAAAAATATGTAATATATGGTAATTTCTCATGAAAGTTGAAAACTTTAATTAAATATATTTTTTGAACAAAACAATGTTTTGTTGGCAATAATACATGAAAAATATGGTATGACAATTCAGAAAGGTGAGTTTTATTTATGGTAGTATTTTATTTTATTGTTAATATATTTAATTGTAATTTTTATAATATGAAACATTTCAATGAGGTAATAGTATGAAATATGTTAGTAATTACCATAAAACATGAAAGTTTAGTGAATATCTAACAATACTTTGTGATGATTTGCATCATTGTGGAAGTGCATGTGCCAGTGACACAAACTCTTTGAGAGGATTACACATCCTGCATCTTTTGAGAGAATTTTTATAATCAAATAGTAGTATACTCTGCTGTCAGCCTCATATACACTGCAGAACAATACTGTGACATAAGCTATTCACATACATGCCCCTTCTCATTTCAGAGGACTCAGAAAGCTTGCCATGAAACACTTAGCTTATGGTATTGGAGAGATGTACCGTGGTTTTAATATTAGAGCAACTGTTAAACAGTTGCAAAAGTTTGTGCCTTCAATTACTATCAAAGATGTCACCAGGTAAAATGCACTGAAATTAATAGTATACTTAAAGTGGTATTTTTAATTGTGATTAGAGTAAACAACATAGCAGTATCAAATGCTTGCATGTGTAAATCATGTGGGATCTTTGTGGATATAACATCTATCAATATAGAAGCTAGTATGCTCTCACATTCTTATCAAGCACATTTTTGACATGCAATTAATTATTTTAAAGTTCAAAATGTTTTTTCTTACCACACAGAGGTCCATCAGGAGTCCGAGCCCAGGCTTTGGACAGGGATGGTCAGCTAGTGGATGATTTTGTGTTTGACAGTGGTGAGGGTGAACTGGCCAGTAGAATGCTCCATGTGAGGAATGCCCCATCTCCGGCAGCCACATCATCTCTGGCCATTGCCAAAATGGTGGCTGATAAGGCTAAGGAGAACTTTGAGCTGTGATTGTGATATCGGTCCTTGACTAAGACCCCATTCCCAGAGATTAGATCGATCCAAACTAGATCGACCTAACTCCCTGGGGGTTCACGCTAAATAGCTGTCAGCTGAGCGGGCACGAAAGTTGATTACCCCCTTACAGCTTGTAGTAGGCGGGACGGACATTTAAGCCGAATTATCTGACAGTAATCTAGTGAGACTCCCCACGGGGATAGATCGATCTAAATGTCTGGGAATACGCCCTTAGTGGTTGTATTTGCTGTAGTTCACTGCCTGTTGACATTTTAATGCCAAAAATGTTTTTCAGGGCAAAAATTGGAGGCCATTAACACTTACTGTCCTAAATTTGTTTTATGATGCATTTACATTTGCAAAGTTGATAATTCCAGTTATTTTTGGATGCACATATTTTAGTGGGTGCCATTTAATCAGAATATCTTCAAAAAATCATAAGCTATATATCCTGTATGATAGATTATTGATAGTACTTTTTTAGTGACAAAACTTAATTTTCTTTTACACAAGTGTTTTAAAATAATATCAATCTTATAAGATATCATTCACTTCAGAGAATTTAAACACTTGCTGTGATATTTTACTGCAATAAAACATCTTTTGTGGGCTTCTTACCTATTTCCTGATAGGAATATATATTATGTGGTGCTCTTTTTTACATATGAGAATAATTGCAATTTGTGGGGGTATTTCTGATATTGCAATAAATACCTATGAATGAAAAAAGTTGAAAGTGTTGTGTTTTGTAAATGAAACTTATCAAATCAGTTTGCATTCGAGAGTAATGTATTAAATGTGTTGACAAAAATTGGTCACATTTCCTTTTCAGTGACAAATTGCAGAAGTTGTATTCCATTCTCAATAAGAAATTGCACTAATAAATTGCAAAACATTTAATGTAAAAATCTCTCATACTTTCCTTGCCTTTTATTGTACAAAATTTTATTTACAATCAAATGATACTACAGAATATTTCAGATAATAATTTTACTTGTGGTTTCTGACCTTCAGAAAAACTTTTGAAAAAATTATTCTTGCAGCGGCTGGTATCAGTGTTTAGTTCATTTCTCTCCCATCTTAAAACTACTACTTTATTTTTTTTACAGAAACTTTGGCAAATAAAATATTCTAATAAAAACAAAAAGAAGCCTTCTGGTAAAAAGTTTCCTCAAAGCTTCTTGTTTTGTCATAATCGAGTCATCTATATACACCTTTGACATAAAACTGAAAGTCAACTAAATCAAGACCTTATTCCATATTTTCTATACTATTCCTTGCTTATGCTCTGTAAATGAAGTCTTTTTTTCCAATCGTTCCCAAAAAAAAAATATAAATGTACTGCAAGTACTTTATAAAATGTCTCTATTCATCTATCAATCTGTACAAGTGTTTTTCACAGCACTGTCCATAAAATGTCCTCTTTAGATCAAATCAGCCACTGAAAGGTAAAAGATAAATACATGAGTAGTGAACCAGTAAACCATAAGGTGCAAAAATATCAACTAAACTAACACTTCTCACAAGAGTCATTACTATGGGTAGGGAAACTCCTGCTAGCATGGATTTAATCAAAATATTTTGGAAAGTATGGATATAACTATATAAAATATTTGTAAAAGTGAAATTTGCATAAAAGTAACTAATAATCTGATGGGTACAAAAGATTTACCATTCATCGGCATTTCATCAATCTGGGTGGAATAGTACTGTTCAATATCACGAAGGATTCGAATGTCATCATTTTTGACAAAGTTGATGGCCACACCCTTTCTACCAAATCTGCCTGATCGACCAATCCTGAAGCATCATAGGTTATTAGTGTTAACCTCAAAAGTCCTTTAATATTCTTACAGTTAAAACTGCATCAACACACAGGGGTGAAAACATAGTACAATACAAGCCATGCCTAATGCCATTTCAAAAACTGAGAGAAAGCACCACTATTTGTAATGAATGAATCTGGTTTAATTCAAAGTTCATTTCATTAACTTTTACTTGACAAATTAAAATTTCGTATCATCTTGACTAATTCAGCATAAAAAATTAATTTGATAATACCAATACCTCTTGGGTATTCAGAAATGATCATCATATGATGAAGATGCTCTATGTCGTACTGACATACATAAAACATACCTGTGGATGTACAACTCACGGTTGTTTGGTAGGTCATAGTTAATAACCAGGGACACTTGCTGCACATCAATACCTCTGGCCCACACATCAGTAGTGATCAGCACACGACTAGAGAAAAAAAAAAAGGACGTAGATAAATAAAAACAATTTTACTTACAATCTGCTGATGTATGATAAGTTGGTTCACACTGACAAAGCAAACTTCACCCGAATCCAATCATTTTTCACAGCTGTTTGTCTAAAGCGAAATGTACAGTAGCCAGCGTTAAGTCAATATCACCTGTAAACCTACCTTGCTCCTGATCTGAACTCTTTCATGATGGCATCTCTCTCCTTCTGGGGCATGTCACCATGCATAGAGGACACTGTAAAGTTAGCTTCTCTCATTTTCTCAGTCAACCAGTCCACCTGTAATGACAATAAATGTTAACTTGGACACTATTTTATTTTGGTCATTTTTATATTTTTCTACTAATTAATGTGACATGGTAAAATAATTTTAATGAAAAGGATGTATCTATCTATACATTACTTTCATGTAGAAGAAATGTAATGACAGTGAACTAGAATCAACAGCAATATATAAATAACCTTATTTAGCAAGCAACAGCACAAATTAAGAGTACTCCAAAATAATAAATAATCTAACATGAGTAAAAATTTTTGTCACTAACCTTCCTCTTAGTATTACAGAAAATAACTGCTTGTGTAATAGTGAGTGTGTCATACAAATCACAGAGTGTATCAAACTTCCATTCTTCTCTCTCCACTGCCACAAAGAACTGCTTAATGCCTTCCAATGTCAACTCATCACTGAAAACAGAAAAAAAAACAAAACTGATTTAATGGGCAAAAACAAATCCATGTCTTTTTTTTTCTTTGAATCTTCAACACACATTTACCAACTAAAAATAAATTTTCAAGATATTTTAAACAAATATAAAAAACTTGAATATTCAAATGTCCACATTTTTAGTTTACATTTCCTGGCATATCTTCCTACTTATACATTGTCTAAAAAATGAACAGTTCTTGACAACATGGTTGGAAAACAAAACCAACATTCAGAACATAAAACACATTTCAAATACACACAAAACAGAAGTGACAGAAGCAATTTGATGCTTTCATAATGGTTCCCCTTGCCTCTCAAATAAAATGGCCTCAATTACAGAAACAAGCCAATGAAGCAATAATGATACTGACCGTTTAACAATGATGCGGATGGGGTCAGTCATAAACTTGCTGGTCATCTCTAAGATCTCATGAGGCAGAGTGGCCGAGAACAACACCACCTGTGTAGCAGGGGGCAGGTAGCGGTACACATCATAGATCTGTTCCTTGAAACCTAAAACAACAAAAATAAATAACTCAACACCCCAGTTCATTTTCTACTTGTGACTTGAACACAAACAACACTAAAGGCCATTTCAAATCCTTACAGAAGTACATAATCCACAAAAATTCACTTTGACTTGACTATGATCCATCAAATTTGAATTTTATTAATAGTAAACTAAGCCTCAGTAAGAATGTAGGCATAAGAAAAGGAAGAAGTCAACTGCAGCTATATATGAAGAGAGTAAAATTTACCTTTGTTCAACATTTCATCAGCTTCATCCAATACCAACATTTTGATGGAGCGTGTTCGGAGATTTCTTCTTCTGATCATGTCTATAAAATATACATTACAAATTTCTTATTTCATATTTTAACATTAATAACTGTATCTAAGCATTGTCCCTTATAATTGACTATACACCATAACATCAAGGCAAATGTAGGTTAACTTACCAAACACTCTCCCAGGAGTCCCAGATACAACATGCTGCCCATAGTCTAGCTTGCGGATATCTTCACCAATGTTTGTACCTCCAATACACGCATGACACTGTACACTCATATAATCACCCAAAGCCAGAATAACCTAGGTTAAAGAAATTAACTCCTCTGTAAAAATGTGTAACGCTTTCTTAAAATTGCAGAAAAAAAAAAGAAAATGGAATACGTAAATGGATTCACCTCCTCAGAATTAAAAAAATCAGGAAAGCATTAGTAGGCCACTTGACGAAAAATGTACCTTCTGAATCTGGACAGCAAGTTCTCTGGTTGGAGACAGAACCAAAGCCTGTGTTTCTCTCACTTGTGTATCCAATGTTTGAAGAATTCCTATGGAAAATGTAGCAGTTTTACCTGTTCCAGACTGGGCCCTGGAGGATACAGACAGATTATAGGAAAATAAAGTTTTTCAAAAAAAAAAATCAATATGAAAAATTATCAAAATAGCCTCACCATGATTTATTATAAACAGCTTTTGGTTGCGTTTCTAATACCTCTCCTTTTAACCAAATGTGTTTGTCTAAAAGGAAATCCATGCCATTTGCCAACATTTGAGCCTTATGGCATAGACTTAGTAGTCCATACTCATCTTTTTACTAAAATAATTCTCAACAATGAAATGAAATATATTAAGATATACAACAAAATATATCTAAATTGCTACAACTATTACTTACTGGCCTATGATGTCTCTTCCTTTTATGACAGGTTTAATTGCTCTCTGCTGAATTGCAGATGGTTTTTCAAAACCTATAATAGAAATACACTTGATAAAGTTTCTTACTAACAAAAATTTCAGACTATCACGAAAATATCCTCTCCACTGGTAAAAATGTGATATGTATCAATGTATGCAAAGATGCAGGAAAGTAATGGTACAGGGACATAAAGAGATGACCCCTTTAGGCTTATGAATACCCTCTAAGAACAAATATTCAAACTCCACAGAAAAATAAAGGAGCTCCCTTGTGAATAAAGAGTGAAAACACTAAATCTACTCTCATTGCAAATTACAGAAGAGAGTGGAATGACATGATTCACTTCACAAATTTCTAAAAAATAAGGGCATAACTGATGCTACAAGATAACTTCTTAGTGCTACACATGTACACAATAATACACTCAAAAAAAAAGCCAGATTCAATGTAAGATCACAATTCTTTTAGAAGAGTCAAAATATCATTTTTCCCATGGTTGCAGTTACAGGCCATCCAAAAGGGCCAGATTGAAAACAATTTTTTGGGAGTCCAACTTTATGTAAAAGATGCTGTGAGAAGGAGTTTCCTACCATTATTTTCATATAAAGTTAAACACAAGCCTCATAAATTGGTCTAAAAAGCACATTTGCCTCAGACCACATATATGCAGTGACAAAAACTTGATACTGGCTAACCACAGAGATGATACCAAAGTATTCAGCCTTTAAGACTCTGTATCTTGGCATCAGGGAACAAAATGAAAATATGAATGATATGTTATGAAACAAACTAAAACTCCTGATTTTTTATACTGTCCATTAAATTTGTTTGAAAGCAAGATTTCAATAATCTAACAAGGTTTATCAAAATGTCCATTTTAGCAGGCATTGCTAGTAATTTTCAAATTCTCTTACACCTTAATCTCGATGCTGTATCGACGTCGAACAGACGTTTTGTTCTTTTGAGTTCGTATCAACATATGCCATCTTGTCATAAATATCATTAAAGGAGAGAAACAAATGCCTTAAAATAAAATCATTTTCAAATTCGTTATTCATTCCAATTGTCCTCTAACTCTTTACTATATGCTTTACCCAATGTTTAGTAAAATAAAGTGAAAAAGAAACAAAGGCACACAGGCTCCAACTCCTGCGCATTTTATGACAATACCATAACCTAGTAGTAGTTTTATTACCGTAAGCATATATTCCTCTGATGAGATCTTCCCTGAGACCCATGGAATCAAACGTAGGTACCACTTCGACATCTTCGCTCGTTTCAAACTCGACATTTTTTAAATCATCAGAAAGAACACGCCGGGATGATGCCGCCATCTTGAAGCTAAAGTGCTGTAATGGGAATCACCCTTCTTCGATTAAACAGAACACGGGTTACTACATCAACTTGATCAGAAGATGATAGACAGAGACCTCTATCCTTTTGATCAACATTAGCACGTCAGCCACGTACTTACCAACCCGAAATTAAAAGAGAAAATGTGAGAGAAAAAATTATTACACAAATCTCTGAAAGACAGAACCCTTGTTTCTTTCAAAAATCTACTTTTTATTTCAATGCCAAAAAACCGCAAAACTGAACCCGAATAGATATTCATGTGTAAGCATTTGTCATTAGAGAATGTATATACATGTAGATGTATCACAACAACAACAAAATAGCAATACCTTCTCAAACATTTCTTTATACTTAAGGTAAATTAACTTCATAATGCATAATTCAAATTTGAGGACTGGTGTATTTCAAGTGTTTTTCTATCTTTGTCCTGCAATTTTAATGTGCCTACATCTATATGGCGTGCAGTTCTACAACTTCGTACAATCTTGTGACAAAACACACAAACAAAATTTAACTTTGACAAATAATCAGAATTTACCAAAAATCCAACAATCACACTCTATAACAAAATCAAAGGAATCACCCCTATATATAATCAGTATAAATTAGTCTTTTCAGACAACCAATTTACAAATAAACAATGGGCAGGTAAGAATGTTGTAGTGCTAACAATTTTCAATAATTATTTATTCCAAAAATACATCCTGTCAAAACACATCAGAGACAGCCTTAATTCAAAATATCCACATTCATGCTTAAAAATTAGCATACTACTAAAATTTGTTATTGCTAACTACATAATATTTCTTCTAGTCTTTTTTATTTCACAGCTCTTATAAATCACAATCTATAACAAACCTTTTTTATATCTAATGCATATATATAAAATGAAACAAGTGCTTGTACACCTTCAACATAAGGCTTTACCAACTAATCTACATACAATAAACATCGTCTTCAGTAGATAGCCAGTTAATTCTGGAAATATTCCGTATGGACACTAGAGTATCTGCATGAAAACTGTTTAAAAAATCAGCAAAAAGCATAAGAAATCATTTGCCATATTCATGTCACACTTGACACACACAGAAAATTATGTATGTCATTCAATTCAACACTGCTGCCATCAAAAATAAACTTGGTTCAAGATCATCTGAACCTGCTAAACTTTTACTTTCAAGTCCTGAATATATACATATATTTAACTGAGGGCATAATGGATTATTAATATTCATTCTGGTACTTTTATTTCTCTCCAGGTATATAATTCTTAATCCAAAACAATAATTTGACTTGGGAGATCTTTTAAGCACTAAACTGATTTTCTTTTTTTTCCTTTTCTATTTAATAATGACACAAGAAACTAATCCAAATCCTTTGAAATTAATCAACACTTGATAATTATATAATGATAAGTTTGATTGCCAGTACTTTTGACTGGATATATTACACCAAACTTATCTTTTAGATAATGATACATTTTGTTAAGACAGTAAAGGAACAAGTTCAGAGCATTATCTTATCCAGAATAAGCAATAAAGACAACTCACATACACTAAATGTGTGAAATGGCACCAAGGTAATATAGGATTTTTTTTAATGTAGGTTAAAGTGGCTTACAATTAGCTTAATGGAACAAACTAATGGCAGTGATACATATTCAGTCATCAAAAGTTAATGTCTAAGCTTAAGAAAATAATCTGCAGAGTAGAAATTCCTCATTACTAATCTGTCAGGTATCTCTGTCCATGTGTAGTCAAATCAGAGCAGACAAAATCATTCCCTATCCATCACATAGGCACTTCAGCTTCAATGAGCACAATTTTATTAACATTGTGGATTTAATCTAGCCTCCTGAGATCAACTTTGTATTGAACCCTGTGTGGGGTTGCCATGGTTATTGTTCCCCTATCAAGAACCACTTGCAGAGTACATGTCATCTGTATCATCTGTGTCCATTTCACTGTCCTCTACAAATTTACGTTTATTCATAGTCCGTCCTGAGATGGAAGATGGAGATGGTTCTCCATTCTGGAAGATCAATCGGGCCTTGTAGATTGGCTCATATTCCTAGAAAAAAGCCATAATGTATTATAAACAATATGATGGGAACAAAAATAAAAAGAGTATGCTTATATGGAAATAAAACTCATAAAACATTTATTTTAAAAACAAATATCTACTATAAATAGTTTAAGTAAACAGAATATATTGTCAGCTTTCTTACTTTGGCAATGAAGAAAGTACATGTAATATAAGATACCTTGAGTTGTTGTATAAATCCTTCATTGAGACTAATGCAGAACCTCTTGCTCAGTACATGCCGAAAAGCATCCCTTAAATAATATCATAACTATGTAAGTGTAAAAATACACAGTAAATTTCTCATGAGATCTACATCTATGCAAAAATGTCTTAATTCTGTGTTAAGAATAAAAGTACTACATGGTAAGAACTCAATTTTTAATTTTCCATGAGTAAGATTTCCTTCATTTTCAAAAGCAAATCTGTCAAAAGCTTACCTGAAAGACAAGCCAAATCTTTCCATAACATAGGCTACTACAAATGCAGCACTGAATAAAGAAACAAAGAACATGGTAAAAAATGTACAGGCTGATACATATTCTATATCTTTTATTTATTTTATATCCAAGTTATTTGAGACACTTGATATATCTGTGATAATGAATTATCATTTGTATCTCAAGAACTTCATTCTTTTATTTTCATTAAAAAACAGCAAGCCGAAATCAAGATTTTAGAAAGAGACATGTGACCGTAATTACTATGCTCAATGGTGATTTCATATGGCAGAACTATGTTCATTATGACCTATGATATAAATAGCTTGCACATATTTTTTAATGTTTAAAACCCATTTGCATCTATGCTATATATAAGCATACCTTCTTGATATCCCAGCATTCCCATGGACAAGAGCACGGCCACCCTTACTTAAACATTCATCAAGGAATTCATTAACCTAAAATTCAAAGTTGAAACTGACTGGAGTTTCATGAATATAAACCAACCACTCAGCTGTTTGTAACAAAATATGATTTTCCTCCTTTGCATTTATCTTGAACTTAAAAGAGGGACAAAATGATTGCTGATATTATAAACCAGCTAGAAGCCTGAGGGCTGCAAAGATAAACCATTTTTTAATTTTTTTAACCATATATACTCCATAGCAATAATGAAATTTTATCAATAAATTTACTCTCATCCAATTGAAATGACACAGACAGATATGCTGGTTGGTCGACCAAAAGTTCCGTAGATAAAACAGTAAGTCAGTTTCTCTTACCTTCGGTATGTGTTGTATAATATTTTCTGTCACACTATCACTTATGTCAAGCACCATATACCTACAATAACAGTAAAACAGGTAATTTGAACATTACTCAACTCAGAATAAATGCAAAAATTAATCACTTACTTTCATATTTAATATCCTATCATTAACATCTTTAATAATATAACACTGCTTACTTGAAGTCATCCGGAAAGTTGGGTCGTATACATTTTCCTTCAATGGTCTGCCGTATACATAAAACATGAGTTATCTGATGTTCTTTGAGGTAGTTGAGCTGAAATACAGACAACATATTTCAATGTAAAAACAACATAAAAGTTTGTCTAATCCTTATGCAACACTAGCTGTGGAAATCTTGAGGCCTTTTTTAAAATAAGTTCAAAGTTAGATGAATTCATCTATTGGTCAGAATAAATTGGTACAAGTCGATACTCCTTTTGCATCAATAATATCACAAAGTTCAAAGTAAAATAATGCCAACATTTTTCAAAGCCATGTGTACAAACTTGGTGTCTCAATCCTGCAAAATGAATGAGAAGACTACATTGCAGAAAAACAATAAAATTCTACCTAATCATGAAAATTCTGAATACTTGTCTGCCTCATAGCTCTATAAATCACTACTGCAAGCTATAGAAGTAAAAAATAAAAAAATACAAATTTATACAAAATGCATCTCTACATAAAATCAATTTTAAATTTAAATCCAAGTCTCCCATTGCATGTTATAGAATACTTCCATTAACACCAGCTTATACTTCCTGTCATACTAGCTAATATTTAAGTGTAAGATATTCAACTCTCTATCCACAGGTCCACTAGTAGCCTGTTACAAAAATTTTGTATCAGACTCTGTGGGATCTGAGGTGATCAACTTGAGTGTGTTCCTATCCAGACATACATGTACCCTTTATATTTGTCAGTGGGGGTGATTTCACACCTCGGGTGTTTAGTAGCGCACATCCCTGCCTATATTCGGAAATGCAAGTCAAGTATGGCCTCAAAATGTCCATCTGAGTAATTACACTTAACCCACAATATTATCATCTTCTGCTGCTGAGCCGCCATTTAAGGGGCGAGTAGGAGCGGATGCAAACAAGTTGATTGGGTGAGTTCCCATTGGGACCTATATTTTAATTTTGTACACTATTTTAGAAGCCCTTAATCAGAGGGTAAAGATTCACCACCCCAGCTAGAAAAGCACTAGTCTTGGACTTGGAAAGTTAGTGCAAATTTTTGTCTGTTTGATAAAATGCTTTAAATCTGACTGTACTTACTCTAGATTTATTTGCTACTGCATATGGACCTAAATAAAGGCCTGGTAAAATTTCCTGAAAACATATAAAATAGTCATGATAATTTTAACAAAAAGGAATTGTTTAATGCAGTTAGCATCACATTTACCATCAATCTTGATATGAATCTTTAATTACCAAAAAAAAACTTCTTTTAAAAACTCAAAAAAATGACCATGTGTGTGCGTGCATGTCTTTGACTGCACTAGTACTACCAATGTAGAAAAAATAAATCTTAAAGATATATATGAAACAAGAGTAAATGCCCAGTAATGTATACAAATCATTATTGCCAGTTTCTTTCATGACAAAAATAAAAAAAAATTGATTTTTTAAAATCTCTCTGGCAGTAGAAAGAGGTTTTATAGCTGTACCTTATTAAAAATTTTGGACGTTAATTTGACCTAATTTTTCCCCCCAATCTGTAAAGCACAGTGTCAACTCTAGTGATAGAAAAACATACTAACCTGCATTTGCCATCTCATCTGGTATTGCCAATCATCTGTATCCCTCTGAAAGATTAAAAAAAGCACAATTTAAGGAACAAACTTACCAAACAAAGGCTCTTGATAAATTCAAGTAAAACAAAAGTATGGTTTGGCAGCTATAGAGCAAATATTCCAAAAAAGTATCTGAAAAAAAATCCAATTACTACTAATTTTCAAGCTCATCCTTGCATTTACTTATATCTAGTAAAACTGCCTAGTAAATTTAAGGCATAACAAAAAATGTTATTTGGTACTTTTGGAAAGAGCATCAATCATAAGAATATATTAAATTTTTTTTAAAATTAACTTTGCATCATTTGCCCAGCTGATTTTTCTGTGGTCTGTTTCTTTCTTTTTTTTTTCTTTTTTTTTTTTTTTTTTTTTTTTTTTGGGGGGGGGGGGCAAAGTGATTTCCATTTTGTCAGGAAANCGGCATCGGCGACGACAGACGCAGGTGATGGCAATATGTACAGACACATCTGTGTCTGTACATAAAAATGGAAGCCCTTTTAATTTTGACTCTACAAAAACTTTGGATTTTCTAAGGTTTTGTTTAAGTTATCAGAGCTGCCTAAGGCTTTAGTAGTAAAGATTTTCAAGATGAATGAATTAAGGAATTTCAGATATTCTAAAAAGTCGATCCTGCCCTACGTGGATATATGTAGCATTTCAACATATTACAGCAAAAGAAATAAAAGAGAAATTCAACTCACCCCCCCCCCCCTAAAAAGGAACAAAAAACAAAAATAAATATCCTAATGTTTTAGTCAAAATTGATCTTTGATAAACGTCGAAAATCAAAATCAAAATCTGAATCTGAAAATTGTTATTGAGAAATGTGATGTATTTGTTTCAATTCAGGGTGATTTTGCCAAACTGAAATTGTAAACGATGCTCACCATATCTGTACTTGGAAGAGAGGATGGCATAGGCGACGTTTCCATCATCATTCCTGGTGCAATTGATTAACTACAGCTTTCTTGGTACAAATTGTTGTTACTCTTCATCTTAAATTTTGAGACACCGGAAACAAAAGATGAGCTTTACATTACAAAGCGCTCGCTATTTTCTTAGCTGTTCATTGGATAAAATTATGAGTGCGGGGCTGCAAGGGGAGATATCATTTCCTCGTTTCCCAACACTACTTGGCTCTACAAATACATGGAAATCACTTAAGGTACACACACACACACATGTTTGACATTGCTTTAGGTTTGGGAACAAAATTTAAGCACAGCTGTTGGCATTTATAGTAAGAATGCTCAGACCATATTGCAAATGGTTTTTTGACATCGATTAATTTATCTCGATTGTTCTACAGTACATGTAATGTACTGTAACTTTCTCATTTGTAGCGCCCACTTCGTAGTATTGTACACGTGTATTAACCTAAAAACTTGATTTTGAGTAAGTAAAAAAACTGCTAGTCTTTCTACCCCTTCCTGCAAGTGCCTCAGTGAGTTATATTCAGTTAATGTCAAACTTCAACTAGTTCGCATTTATGGCGAGTTCTGTTGACTGTCGATATGATACTGTATGGTAATCAAGTTTGTCAATTTTTAAGCGCCTGGGCCCAGTTTTATAAAGGACGTTTAGCACTAACCAGTGTTTAACTCTAACCAGACCTAAATAGTCTGTTAGCAAACTGACCTTTAAATAATTATTTAATCCAGTTAAATCCGTACTGGCCAGTTAACTACAGTAATTATCTGTTTTCCGTCAGAAGACTGTATATAAAACACATTTTAACCATCTTTTAGTTAATGGGTGTTAGGGGAATTTATCCACTGGTTAGACTTATCCACTGGTTAGTGCTAAATGTCCTTTATAAAACTGGGCCCTGGCCATTAGTAATACAGTATGATTACGGGTTCTCGAACTCCTTGCGAAATTGCCTTTGAAAATGTATTATTTATTAATTATGTATTTTTTCCATTTTTTTCAGAGTTTGCAACATGTTGACAAGTTTCTTAAAAGTGTTTAATAGCATCACTGAGAAGAAACCAATCTCTGCACTATTATTAAGTATTATCATCCTACAATATGAAAGGATCAAAGGAGAACAAGTTTTAGACAGATTTGTGGGTGAAGTTGGAGGGGGAAACTTCACATTTTATAGACTCCAATGGCCCACTACACCAGTGACAATCCTTCTTGAAAGCCTGGAAGGGGATGCAGATCTCTATGTATCGGACACTACTCTGACTCCCGACTATGAGGATAATGTTCTTAGTTCTATTACATGCGGAGAAGACAGAGTTCATATCAGCAGGGAATTTCGGAGGCCTGTAGGAATTGGAGTCTTTGGGCATCCATTAAAGGAACTGTCTAAGTACAGGTTATCTGTATTAGTACCAGAAGGCCCAGAGGAAGTGACATATGACACATTGGTGGCAGCTCATAACACATATGGGGATCTGGAAGAAGCTAGTGAAAAATACAGTATGAAGGATCACTACAAAACTGATTCAAAGCATGTATCCAAAAAAGAAATTGCTAAGCCTGGTTCAGATGAGGAAGAAAGTGAATCATTGTTATGGACAATTCTTGTGGCAATATTAAAACTTGTTTTTGAAATTTTGACCTGAGATATAATTATGGAATTTGTGGTGATACAAACCCTTTTGATTAATAGTCACATCTAGTATTTTTAATGACATTAGTAAAGTTTATCTGAGAATAGTTAACTTTCTTTCAAAAATAGTTTGATTCGAGGAAATTCTCACTCGTCAGAACATTTTTAGCTCTGCCAAGGAGGTTGTTTTCACCTCTGTTTCTCTATGTGTCTGTTTGTCTGTCTGTCATCAACATAACTCAAAAATTTTCAGGAACTGTCAGAAGTGGGCCAAGAAAGAGACAATTAGTTTTTGGTGGTGATCTGGATCAATAATCAATCAATAATAATCAAAAATTGCTGCCTTGGCGGAGGTCTGCGCTCTCGAAGTGCTTTTCTAGTAATTCTTGAAATTTGTCGTTAAGGAGGATGGTAGAGCCCTTCTCAAAAACCACTTCATTTTCATTTGTAACTGTTGTATACTTGTACTTTTTAAGTGCAGTTTGTCTTAGAACTTTTTTTCTTTTATTCTGGATTGTTAGTTATTCGATTAAATCTATTTGTAGAGGATGTTGTCACTCACACGCAAAAAAAAAAAAATGATATTTCAGTACATGTATTACCTCTTGTCTATACATCAAATAAGAAGAAGAGATATGATATATTTATTTTACATAAAAGTATACATTATGCTGCAGTTGAAGCAAATTTCAACTGATTTGATGATATCTATGCACTTAATTGCTTGCTTTGAAAGTTCCTAGGGGTATTTTATCACTGACAAATTTTGTAACTTTTTTCATGAATCCAGTAAAATCTGTAAAATGTGAAGCAATAAATTCATCAACTTCCCACCTGCCTTATTGAAATAAAAGTTCAAGTCATGGTCAGCTGTGTCTGTATTAAATTTTTCCCTTAAACATCCCAGTCTACAAAGGAACATTGCCTAGACAGTGTATATTTTTCTACAGATTTATATATATATATACCATGCATGACAGGAACCAGCACAGTTTGTCTCGGAGAACACACTGGGGAGTTTTTAGCTAGAGTATTGGTGTTTTGATAAACTTAACAAGTCTAATTTCTTATTGGACTGAATGTTAACAATTCTTCAATTCATAAAAAGTTTGATTTTTTGGCACCACTGTTGACTTTTAAGACACTACTGATTCTGAGTGAGGTGAGTGCCAGCTGGCCTAATCGTCTAGTACGCTGTCTAACCAGTCCTCCAAATTTGTGCCATCTGTAAATAAGATCAAATAATCTGTTAAACAGATAAAAAGTACAAACAAAAGATGTGAAATATTTATATACCATTAACTTCTTTTCACAGTCAAGATGTGAAAGACAAAAAATGTCTTGATGTACCAATAAAATATTGCATTTACAAAACAGACTTTTCTGCTAATTTTTTTCTGGCTGAATAAGCATTAGGTTTATTTTCATCATACATCATGATCTTGTCTATTCTAATCTAGACTAATGAGGTGAGTAAAGCTTTCTGAATTTTGTCAAAAGATTAAAACAAGCAAAATGTGCATAAGACTTTTCTGCAAAGTCTTGAATTAGTAACAGATTATCATTACAAATAAATGTGGTTCAGTACCTTCACACTTTGTTCCATCCTTGTGTAAAGTCTGGTCTGTTTTATTTGGCACATCTAAAGATAACAAGTAATCTAAGTCCTCTTCCAGATTTTCACTTGAGATTTTTGTATTGTTATCTGGAATGGGACAATCATTTCCTGTTGCTGTTGTTTTAGCATAAATTTTATCTTTTTGTTGTAAATTTAAACCTGGAGCATTGTCTTTTATATTTAACGTTTCAGTCCTCTGTGATGCAACACTTGGTCTGAAATTATTGTCTTGTTTGTATAAGTCAGCATTCAAGCGTGCACTTTCTTCAATTTGTTTCAGCTGTTCCTCCTGCAAGTCCAATAAAATTGCATCATATATGTGAATGTTAACAACATAAAATTGCTTATTTTCAAAGTTAAAATTAAAAAAGCAAAAAAAAATTCTACATACAAGAGAAATTATGCTAAACATAAAAAGGCAGAATAACCACAAAACCTCTAGTTCACAAGTAAATGGCAGCTTAAAGGGTTGGCCAAAAAATGAATTTTCCTGGAGTAAACAACAATTTTCCCATACTAACCAATGGTTAATGAATCCATTTTTACATTCAAAGTTAGTCCCTGGTTTTTTTCTAAAATGTTTCTTTTTTTTTTTTTTGTTATAATCTCTTAAGAGATTATAACAGAGTATAGCCATCAATGAAGGTCACGTGGTCTAAAGACAAGCTCAGATATCAGAATAATAGCTATAACTGTAGTTTTTGTGGTATTACAGAATATATTATATTTCTATGAATTGTTCACAATGTTTTTATTGTGAAATATAGATCTCATACAAAGAGTTATTATCCCTTTAACTTTAAAACCTTATCACCAACCTCAAACAATGACTTTTCAATGTTTAGTCTCTTATATAGTGGTACACATTGTAAAGCAGCTGCTATGTTATTACAGTCAATGGCAATGCACGCTATCCCTTCCTCTTCTTCCCAGTCTTTCTCATCTTTCAAACGAAACTGGGAATCTGAACTATCTGGAATTTCAGAAAAACATGCTTACTTGCATAAAATTATTTAAAAGTCTTCCTTTTATTTAACTTTATAATGCCTATAAAGCAAACAAAAATTCCTCAACATGTATGGATGTTTGGAGGGAGGAATATAAGCTTGATGCTTGTGTTGGCTGGTTTCCTTGAGGGGTGGACAGGACATTTGTTCACAACATGTCACAAGTACATTAATATGTGCTTTCACTGGACACTGATTTTCCTGGAAGATTTTTTGCTGTTAAGAACATGCCATAAAATTTTTGGAGAAATGGGTGTAAAAGTTATGCTGAGTAATTTTAAAAGAATTCTGAACAAGTTGTGCAATATTTGGACTAACACATTACAAGTTAGGCAATGTATCATAAAAGAAACTATACTAAAATATATTCTACAAATTCTACAAATTTTTACAAAAGTTGAAAGGTAAAAAGTTATGCAGAGTTGACTGTGCATATTAAACCAACAAAGCATAGGATTTTTAACACATGTAAAGAAAATAAACCACTTCTTGTTGAACTAATCTGAGCACAAATACTACTTCCGATCATATTTCAACTTTTAAATGCCATAAATTACTGTCACAAAAAAAATTAATCAAATTTACTAGGTACCTCCTGAAAAACCTTGCTGCCCATCAACCATCTTGAAACAGTTTTAAATCATAAGACCCCATTTCCAGAGATTAGATCGATCTACTTTAGATCGACCTAACTCCCTGGGGGTTCACGCTAAATAGCTGTCAGCCGGGCGGACACGAAAGTTAATTACCCCCTTACAGCTTGTAGTAGGCGGGACGGACATATAAGCCAGATTATCTGACAGTTATCTTGTAAGACTCCCCGCAGGGATAGATCGATCTAAAAGCTCTGGGAATACAGCCATAAGTCATGCAAAAACTGAGATCAGGATGACAGAATTTGAAAAAAAACATCACTTAAGCATGGGATAAGATTTTTTAATCTCCCTAAAAGGGAACCTTTAAGCAAATTACAACGGCAGTTTTTTCAAGCCTGTGTTCTTACCATTAGCACTTATTAAAATCTGAAAGTCTGTACCCCTTAACCCATCACTAACAGGGTCATCCTCCTCAATTTCATAGCTATTCCAACTGCTTTCAATTTTTCTTTGGATTGTTCTCTTAGGGTACTCATGTTTGTTCTGAAATAAACACAGTAATGAAAATTTCTTACTGATTTATCATAAAGGGAAGTTCTCTATATAGAAAATAAGTCATGTACTGAAACGAATAACAGACATCTGCAAAAGCAAACTTCTCCAGCTTTTTTGTGTACAATTTGAGATCTAATTTCATCATTCTTATAAAACTGATGATGAACCATGTGTCAGATTGCTTCTAAAGACTCCCTCATGGTCTGTTTTAAATATGTCATTAGAGGATCTATCTGAAATCTTGCTAAAATTTCACAACATACTTCCACATTTATTTGTAAAGAAATTCTTGGCAACCGAGAGGTGGCAAGCATGTGATGCAATTCCACATGAAGTCTATATACCACAAAATTCAGTGTACCTCAACTACATGTATATCAGCACCTCCAATCAATTTGTCAACAACAGGTAGTGACCCATGTTGTGCTTGAATTTTTGGGTTTCTTTCGCCTTTATTTCCTGTTATCACATCTTGACCATGGTTCTTTTTATTAGCAACTTTGGGATGGCTCTTTTTGTACTGGCTACTTCTCTTTTTCTTGTGTTCATCGGGTCTCATCTTGAATGGAGATGGCTGCAATTAAAAGAAGAAATATGAAGTCTCATAAATAAAATATTACTAAGTGCAGATCAAAGGTAACATACAGGGTCACTGACTGACAGTTACTTCTCAAACAAGGCAGCAAAGCTGTCAAATGTACAGACAAAAAACAGGAAATAACTATGCACAAAATAGGCTACTGTCAATTCTGATGCAAAATTTTAATGATTGAATCTGACAAACTGCAATTATATGAGTTTATTTCCATTTTTGAAACTTTATTACACAATACACGATAACAAGTTTACCATCATTTTTACATAATCAACTAATAATGTTGTAAAGATGCAGGAAATGCCAAACAAACACTTTTACGTATCTTATTAATTAAATAATGAAACTGTTAACATGCCTAAGAAATGAATCTGAGGAAATGTGAAAAAACGGCATTTCTTTGAAATAATGGCCCGATTAAGCTGATTTTTGAACTCAACCTGCGTTTTAGCAGGAATGACCACTCCTGTGAGTTTCATGACAATTGGCCCATCTGTTTTTCTTATATTGTATTTACTGTGTTGCATATATGCTGAAAAGTGAAGAAAAAAGCATAACTACTAAAACAGTGGCCCGATCATGCCGATTTTCGAANAACAGCATTGTCATGCCAGTACTTATGTAGATTTGTATTGAGAATCCTGCAATAGGCAATGCATCGGCCTCGCCTTTGCAATCAGACAAGCTGAATTGGATGCAATACCGTAGTTTATACTGAATCACTGCTTAGGGTAACTAGTGTTATTGAATATTCGACATAGTGGGGGCCTCTTTGCAACCCCACAAATGAAATTTGTGCAAAATTGTTGGTAAATAATAACTTTTGCTGACTCGTCGCATGGTAATTTTTAGGATGATGAGTCTCATTGAATATTTGATATATAATTTTTATCCCTAAGGCCATAACATTTAATACAGGCAACAATTTGCTACATTGTTATTATTGTTAATACGATTAGGATAGAGGAGTTATATAATAAAAGCGGCCTGGTTTGGCCAAATCACAAACAAACAATATTCCTTGTTGCCTTCTTTCTTGCTATGAATGAGACTATAAAAGTTTGTGGTACACTGAGATGGAGGAGACATAAAGTCTATATACAGCTGTACCACAAATTTCAGTGTACCTCAACTATATCAGCACCTCCAATCAATTTGTCAACAACAGGAAGTGAACCATGTTGTGCTTGAATTTTTGGGTTTCTTTCGCCTTTATTTCCTGTTATGACATCTTGACCATGGTTCTTTTTATTAGCAACTTTGGGATGGCTCTTTTTGTACTGGCTACTTCTCTTTTTCTTGTGTTCATCGGGTCTCATCTTGAATGGAGATGGCTGCAATTTAAAGAAGAAATATGAAGTCTCATAAATAAAATATTACTAAGTGCAGATCAAAGGTAACATACAGGGTCACTGACTGACAGTAACTTCGCAAAAAATACTAACATTAGCCGATATTCAAACTTTCAAAATGAAACAACTGTTCCTTGTCATCCGAGTTGATTTGTTTTAAAAGGCCTGGCGCCCTGCTAAATTTATATTATATTTGTACAATGTATCTGGGTCCAAGGTTAAGGTGTTCCTTACCTTATATACCAGTATTTAATTCAAAAACATTTTTCTTGTCGATAATATCAAGGAGTTATAACATATAACTCCTTGATAATATTGACCCATTCCACCGAGTCGCGCCACCTTGTCTGAATTTTTATTCCTGTCCAGGCAGACTGTCGAAGCTAGTAGAGTATTTGTGCTACGTGTACGGTAAATAATTCACCACAAACCTGTTATATTTTTCATTAAAAAACAATATCAAATGCAGTTTTATTTGTGTACATCACTTAATATATATTTTTCTTTCTTTACCACAGATAAAGCAAGTGTCGAAACGAAGCTATAAATGTGAGAACACACTGACCTGTTCAGTTCCTGAGCACAGCACCTGCCTTTCGTACTGCGGTCCACATTCATGCGAACTGCTCAGCTAGCTGGATCATTTATAAGAAATAGCTTTAAAATTTTCTGATTAGGTAAGTATTTGTAAGATTGTACATCTCTTGAACACAGGCTTAGCAGAAACGTTACAAATGGTTGTTCGTGTATTAATTTTTTGAGAAAATGAATCTAGTGAAGCTAAATTGTAAATTTGTAGGCTAGTCAAGGTGTTTGTCTCGAGATGTGGGTCAAGTGAGGTATTAATGAATCATGAATGAATACTCTCTCTGTTGACATTTATTGAAAGTACTGAAACAGTTAATTGAAACTATAAGTAGAGGCAAAGACAAACATAAAGATCAATAGAAATTACAATCATAATATTATATGTAATAATACGGTTTATATATATATATATATATATATATATATATATTTTTTTTTTTTTTTTTTTTTTTTTTTTTTTTACATATATGTATACAGTGAACCTTCAGTAATTCTAACCAGACTCAGATTAATTTTGCTGCAGTGACGCATGTAAGAAAAAAAAGCGTGGTTTATCACTATGCTTTATCCGGAACAAATTATCTTCAAGTTTCTCATCATGTAAAATTATCTCAAAAATTGACATATGATAGGCAAATCCCCGCATGTTTAGAATGGTATTCACATTCTGTGCAATTTAGAATACAAAACATGGAAATATGTATTTTCAGGTAGGGCTTTTGGTTCACTTTATCTGTCTTACTATGTAGAGAATGTTATCTTATCCTCTGTGTGTGTGTGTGTGTGTGTGTGTGTGTGTGTGTGTGTAATTGTATTGTAAAATAAAGTGGCAATTGTTTTATTGAAAAAATATGTATGAGGTATATACATTTGGTGTATTTTTGCTATGGTTATGAAGTTAGCTTTATACTTTTTGTTCAGTTATGAGAGATTTTAGGCGAGGTTTCCCAAGGGTTTTGTGTTTTCTTACAGTCAAGGGTATTGGTGGCTTTTCCTGTTGGATGTCACTAGGCAGAATCCAGATATTTGGTTTACCAATTAACTAGTCAGGTGAAGTCTCAGTTGTCTCAGGAAACATGTATTGATGTTTCTTGCACACTTATTAATTTTTTTTATTGCATTGTATTTACTGAGCCTGCGAAAGTTAGAGCGAAAACCATGAAGACAACAAAAGGTGATAATGCACACTCTTGATTACATGTCATTGATTGATGAATTACTATGTAAGCTTGAGGCCCTTTTAGCAGAGTGCAATATATATATATGTATATATGTATGTATATATATATATATATATATATATATATATATAAAACATGTAAAGTCTGTATTTATGCTTCGGGGTTTTTGCTTCATATAAAGTCACAAGGTCAATTTGAAGTCAGTAGCTGTGTGGAGCATAGGATTCTATGAATCATTTACAGAAATGCAGTATAATAGTCTGGCTATTTTAATAAAAAAAATAGTTGTCAATCTTTTTAAAGGTTAACACATAGGCTGTATTCCCAGAGCTTTTAGATCGTACTGTCAGATAATCTGGCTTAAATGTCCGTCCCGCCTACTACAAGCTGTAAGGGGGTAATTAAAATTTGTGTCCGCTCGGCTGACAGCTATTTAGCGTGAACCCCCAGGGAGTTAGGTCGATCTAAAGTAGATCGATCTAATTTCTGGAAATGGGGTCATACATATAAGTACAGTACCGTGAAATGTGATAGCAGCCTCAGTTGAACTTTTTAATGACTTCCAAGTTATTATCCCTGCACTTTGGTGACAAGAGTCGGGGATCATGTTAACTTGTCCATATGTGCATCTCTGTGTTAGTTATTTCTGCTATCGCCTCCTAGTAGAGTGAAGAATGTGAAACTTTGGTGATTGATGACTTTCATCAGGAATGTGCATGGGCACTTGGAATTTCAGTGCACCTGGGGATTGGGCTGCCCCTGAGGGGATGAGGTTAATTTTTTTTCATATTGTAATTTCTGCTATCTCCTCCTAGACCATTAGAGTGAAGAAGTTCAACATTGGGTATTGATAGACCTATAATCAGGGGTGTACATGGGCCTTTTAAAATTTTAGTGCAACTGGGGGTTGGGCTATCCAAGGTTTGAAGGGGGTGGCTGGTAGTAATTTTTGCTCACTGTAAACTTTGGCATCTCCTCCTTGAACATAAGAGTGCTCAAGGAAGTTGGAACTTTTGGGATTGATAGACCTTTCTCATTAGTAGTAGATATGTAGAAGGGCCCTTCAAAATTTATATGCCCATGAGGGTCGGGCTGTCCCTGGAGGGGGTGTGTTTTTTTTCTTTACATTTAGCATTTTTTCATCAGTACTTTTTTATAAGGAAGATTATATTTTATAATTATACATGTAGGACCCAAACATTGTTATATATATATATATATATATATATATATATAGGAAATATGATCCATGAGGGTGAACTTCTTTTTAAAATGTGGTAATATGCAGGGATATGGAAAGGCTACCCGCATATCTAATATCTGCATGACTTATTACATGTGCAATTTTACCTGTATATTTTCCTAGTATTCACATTTATATGCATATTGATATTTATTAAGGATTTGACAACCTGTTACCATGGCAGCGTATCACGTCAGTTAGATTCTCTGGTTGTTATCTGTCAGATGTTTCGTGTGTGAGACATACAATTTCATAGGGATTTATTTGTATCAGTTTGCGGTAATTCATACATATGGAGATTGGCGTCTTGCCTGGGAAAAAAACGAAAAACAAAAACATTGCCAAACACTCAAGGAAAATAATAACATCACAAGTAAACAGTGTTTTCCAATATGTTCTGTGAGTACGCATTTTAATAAAGGAACCTGGTTAAAAGCACCATTTCCTGTTTCAATTTGCTTAGCTTTTAGGGCCTAAATCAAATATTAGGCATCGGGTTTATAGATTTGCCCCATTTTTGGTGACATTCCTTTTTTAAGTGTAGAATATTCTGTGATCTCAGGTATATATTTTATTACACCTCAGAAATGAAAAACACAATCTAACACACACACACACACACACACAAAAGAAATCGTTCTTAAATATAAGATATAATAGATAAATGTTCAGTGTTCATTGCCTTGATTTCTTTGCATTTACACATCATTTTACCAAAGATGCCATAATTGTTTTGGAGATGAAAATTGCAGAATCAGTTTCTCAGATATCTCCTTTTCCATGAGCATCCAGAGTTGCAGTTTCTATTTAACAGTACATGTATGTACTTAAAAATGCCCCACAGAAATATTCTAATCCTGCAAAGCCTCTTATATTCCCAGTTCAAACCTTAAAGATGATAAAACTCTGTAAGTTAAAGTTCATGTGAAGTGTACCTTTTATCATAAATACCCTCTTAACCAAGGTGGGAACCATGCCATCTTGCTAGTTAAGGACAATCTGTATTATACAGGTCCATGTTACAAATCAATACACCATATTCTTGTGTGGTGAACTGAAATTGAAGCATCAAAGCCAAGCGCAGGGACGGGGCAAGAAATGTTTTGTGAGTAGGAGAAAATTGCTTTTTCCTCGTCAAGAAAAGTTTGTTTTTGTGGCAGAATCTGGTATAGATTACGTACCTGTAATGACACCATTGAGTGCGTTATATCCATGCCAGCTATTGTTCTTAAAAGGCCTCGTTCACATTTTATGGATAATAAAGCAATTTAACATCTTAATTAGGGGCTTATATCTTCATAAAAAAAGTTATACCACAATGAAGACATATGGGATTGTAGATTGTCAACAAACATATTTTTCTGATAAAATCTAGTTCAAGGAGTAAATTAGGCCAATATTGATTGTTATGTCCCCTCAAAATAAAAGGAGTTGAGTCTAGGATAAATGCTTTGAGCTCTGTGTTTTTATTATGATAGCCACTGAAATGCTCGAAAAGCATTGATTTTGTATGAGGTAGTCTTGGGGATATATTGACCCTAAACTTGGATAGTTGACCGATGTCGAAGTGCTTGATGTTGAATATAGTAAGTTGAGCAAAGTATAGATGCAACCTCCTTTCTTAGATGCATTTGTAGATCCATAGGTTGTGTTTATAATATTCGTGTTCATGTTACAAATGCCATGATTTTATGGAGGGGATTTTTTATCATTTAGTTAACAAAAATGTAGATATTATTGATGAATAAAATGGATGGAAATCCTCTTTGAAGTTATTTTGTAAATTATAAACCCTATCTGTAACTTTAAAACATCCATTAAACTTTGGATTACTGTAACTTTTTAAAATAAAATATTCCTTTCTTGGTTCCAGAAAATAAAAATGACTGTACACCCTGTTTATACAACTGGTGACTTTTCATTGATCTTATTTTAAATACATACCTTTGTTTGCTATACACTGTGAATTGTCTCTCCTTGCATAATTAGATTCAAAGTATAGTAGGGACCTTATATCAAATAACCTATTTGTGTAATTTACTACAACCAAATAAAGACTTGGTGGATCAGAATGACTAAAGGGGATGCTGGAAGGCCATTTCGTTTTTCAAAGAGGTCCTATTTTTTCAGTTCATAAGCAATAAATATTTTAATTTTGATTTTTTTCCTGCTTTCTATTTAAACTAGTTGCTCTGGAATAGTCATGAAATTTAAGCATTTTTGATGGGATCAGTGTTTTTTTTTCCAAACATGGATATTGAAAGAGAAGTTCTCATTTGTGCAAAATAGAATATAGAATGGCAAACCAACCCTGTGATATATCCTTTATAACTTTTTTTCTTTAAGGTGGCCATGTCAGAACAGGTGGCATCAGACCCCATAGGGAAAAGTGTCAATGAGACTGTTTTGGGACAATCTTCCCAAAGACTTTGCACAGTGTGTGATGAGCCTGCTAGTGGGATTTACTTTGGTGCCTTGGTTTGTTTAGCCTGCAAGGTAGGGTTTTTAGTCATAGATTGTGAGTGGATATGGGTGAATGGGTAGAAATTATCGTACTGTTTTTCAAAAATATAAATTTGAGGTGGTCTGTTGACTTACAATTCTCTGGTTTCTCAAAAATCCCAGTACATTTTTCATGAAGAAAAGTGATTCTGGTTTAAACACTTTGCACAGCAATGTGAGTTGTAATTTTTCTTCTTTTTCAGAGTTTTTATATCCGCTGTACTCGTGAGGGCCATAAAACAGACTACCGCTGTGCAGCTGTAGGGAGGTGTCTGCTAGATAAACCCTACAGAGTGCGATGTCAGCAGTGTCGCTTTCAGAAATGTCTGAGTGTAGGAATGCATAGAAAGGGTAATAATGATAATTTTCGATAAAACATAATTATAGTAATAATTTTGATCTCTTGTTTTGTAAATTTTAAATACCAATTTGCAATTTAGTGCAAGTCAGACAAATTTTGTCATTACAGTGATATAAATAAACTCACTTAGCTCTGTATTCAATGATAAATATAAATTATTGTTCCAGTGCCAATAGCCAGTTGTAGATACTAACACAGTCACTTAGTTTTTAAGAATATTTAATAAACAATGCATTTTTTCTTTCTAATGTGCTTGAAATATATTTTAAATGATGCATATTATACTTCAATAGTCATACATTGGCAAACCATTATAACTTTTTTGCAAGAAATTTTAAAAGTATAAATTAAGTCTTTAATTGTTTTTAATTATGACATGAAAACACAAAATGTCATGTATTGTACCACAGGTATGTGCACTAGCTGGAGACACCTTGCTTTTTGGCCTGTATCTGCTGTGACTGCATTTTCTGCCATGTGGTCTGGGGAAACAAGTTATTCTTATGCCCTCTGATAAACTACAAAGGCCTTTGCCCGCAACTTGTCTTGTAAGATCATATACAACTTGCAGTTGCCATGTTTTGGGGATCAGTGAGTGCTGGTGGTACATACCCAGGAGGTGATTGCACCATTCTTTGTTTTGAATATCTAAATCTTTGTCTTGTAGAAAGGCCAGTAGCCATAAGCCCAGATGAAGGACAAAACTTGTGTAAAGTATGTGGATATATGGCAAATGGAGTTCATTTTGGTGTTGAAACATGTGAAGGGTGCAAGGTATGTTCTCAAGATCTGTATGATGTGAATTTCTTTATAATAAACATCTTTGTGTCTGTAGGATTTATAACATGAGATTTGTCATGTTAATGTGGTTAAGGGTATTTCTCCATATTCAGTTACTTAACTCCTCTTGTTTAAGATCCTCTCCAAATAATAATTTAAACAGAGCAATTAAATTATTTTTTCATCTTTGCAGAAATTTTTTAGAAGAGGCCTAAAGGAGTGTGCAACATATCACTGTAAAGCTCTCAAAGATTGTGCAATCAATCCTAAGAATAGAAATGATTGTAGATACTGCAGATACCAGAAATGTCTTGCTGTGGGAATGTCAAGAGATGGTAAGACCAACACAGAGCATTGACAATGAAGCCAAGTTTGTTTCAGAATTCTATTTGCTAGAAACTGAGGTCAAAATTTGACAGGTCAATTGCTTAAAAAAACTTGGTATGATTTTTTCCAGATTTTCAGTTGAAGAGCATTATTATTATTATTATTATTATTATTATTATTATTATTATTATTATTATTTGCACACGGTTTACTTATACATGGACGAAGAATTATTTTATTCATGATTTTATCACATAGCGAAAATGTAGGCTTTTGCTTTGTGTTAATCCTTTTGGTTTTTTTGACTGGAGATATGTTTGGCAGTGTTATGTTTTGCATTATTATACCTCTTGTAGAATAGTAGCCCTCTGATTGGTCAGTGAACATTTACTATTTCAAATAGTGCTCTAGTGTTTAGTAAAAAAGGTACTGTTGTTCACGCGACTGGGCAGTATTACTGAGCACTAGTGGTTAACTTGAGATAAAAATTAATTCTAGCCCTCTGATTGGTCAGTTACCACAGGCTGTTTTGAATAACTTTCTTAGACGATGCAACTTTGCGTTGAAGTTAAGTGGTCACTTGTTGTAACATTGGAGTTGGGGTTGTGCATAGTTGGTTGCGACATTATGTGACAAAGGTGTATATGGTGGTTGCTTTGCATTGGGGTCCCATTTCCTATCACTGGGCACTGTTCTTCATAGTCATCGAGGGACTGTTCACTTTTTGTTTATTATAAACCTTCACCTTGAATGTTGCTGAATCACAATTTTGTCAGACAAATAGCACTAACTTCTATTTGGATTAGGTGTGAGAAATTGTACCTCAGTTGAAGATGACCTGTGATAGATTAATGGAAAATAAGTCTAAATCCTTTTTAAAATCCACTATATTTACTACCTTTATTTATATATTTATTTTATTTTATTTTTGCAGCTATCAAAATGGGAAGGCCAAAGAAATACTGTGGCAGTGGAAATTCTCAGGATTCTGCCTCAGCAGTGATGGGTAATGGCCACACAACGGAGACAACAGTTAAAAGGATGGACTTTTCAGAACCTGTTTTTGAATTCCATGAGGTCACAGGAAACCATGCAGGAGTTGGCCTAGATCAGTCACCAGCATTGGATAATAAAGGCTGCACCTCTACCGCAGATGCGGTGACTCCCCATCAGAAACAGATTGCAAAGATATACGAAGTTCTTAATATAAGTGAGAATGGCCATCCAGCAGATTCAGCAGAGGCCAATGGTGCCTGTCATATGTGTAGTAATACAGATACTTCTGAAAGCAAACTGAGAGCTCTTTTAGAAGGAAAATGTAATGATGATGGCACAACACAATCAGGCATTCAACAGACATTCCAAAAGGATGGCAGTTTAGAAGAAGGTTGGAAGACGCACATCCCCATGCAGCATGAAGATGCCCCTTTTTCTGATGACAGCATGAGACAAGGGGCCCACACCTCCAGCAGTCCACAGGTGCTTCCGCCTAGTGGACAAGAACACTATTGGGTTCATAGCACACAAAGTATTGGAGACTCTGAGGATACTTTTTTCAGCGTGTTGCCTGTTGTAGAAAATTTTACACACGTGGAAATGGAAAAGTTACTGATGAGTATAAATAACCAACAGCAGTCTGAAGGGGGTTACTCAGAGAGTATCCCTGCTGAAAAAATGATGAAAGATATATCACAGAACTCTTCAGGTGGAGTTTATAGAGATGAGTATGCTTTTGAATCTCAGGGGCAGGGCATGTCAGTGGGTTCTTCTTTCTCCCCACCAGTCTCAGGGTGGAGGGATGAAGCTGGAAGCAAAGAGGGGGAATCTGCAATTTCAGATGATCATGAAATAATGAGTACAATGTGTCGATTCTTAGGCCTGTCAACACAACCAGCACAAGAGCCCCCTTTACAGACATCAGCCTTATATGACACCTTGCAAAAACACAGCAAGCAAGAAGTACCAGATGGCCAGAATAGTTTATCTCAATGGACCCAAGGGCTGCTTCATGAAAGCACCATTAATTTTGCTGTTAAACACTCACAAACCCAACCATCAGATCATCTCATAGATGAGTTCTTTGAAGAGGTGGAAGCTGCACAGCAACTGCCAAAGAGCAAAACTGGTTCTTTCAGTTCAAGTGCACAAATGTCTGGCTATAATCAATTCAGCCCCTTGGAAGGAGGCAAGCGCAAACTAGAACAAGATGATGAAAGTAGACATGGTCAGTGTGTCAAAAATGCCCCACACCTTGAGTGGAATTGGGGATGTTTGAATCCAACGTTTAACAGTCCAAGGCAAGAGATGAATAAACGATTCTTATGTGAGAGTTATTGGTTTAAGACCTGCTTTTCTGAGAATCACAAAGAAGAAATGACGCCAGATCTGCAACGCCTCATTGAGAACACTGTCAGAGAGTTCCACATAATGGTGGATGGTTGTGATGAGGATAAGCTACCCAAGACACCAGAAAATGCTAACTATGTGAGAAAAATATTTTTAATACTGTGTATATTACGGGAAAAGTTTAATTTTCTTTGGGGATTTCCATAAAATAAAATTGTAAAGAAGCAGGGGAATGATCATAATAACAGCTATGGGAGTGGAGTTTCTTCCTTTTTCATGTTTTGATAATATCAGTTTAAACAAAAAGACCAACAAAATGACACGGTAATATGCAAACTTTGAGGCCCTTGCAGTGATATCTGTTGTCTGTATTGTATGTGTCCTCTTAAGCTGTTTAGTTTAAATGCCTCTATTGTGCATCATCTAGTTATTACCCTGGCATTCAATTTTTAAATTTTTCTATTCATACCAAAGTGAAATTAAATTTTGATGCAGTTATTTATAGCATTTTTGTTTTATTTCAGGATCCTGCCTGGCCTAAGAAAGGAAAGGACATGGGCCATTGGAAACATGTGCAAAGGCGCATCGTTAGGAATACAATGTACCAGGTGGCATTTGCCATGAGTTTGGAAGGTATTCCTCTGTTGCTTGTCATTGGGATATGTTAAGTAGTGCAAGGAGTTCCCAGTGATTTTTTATATATTTAAAAGAGAAGCCCATTTAAAAGATTAATGAGAAATGTTAAGGATTAAGTAAAAATGCTGATTTAACAAATGTACCATATTATTTTATAATTTCAAGTGTTTTTAACTGTCACATGTGCATGATCATCATCAACTTTTTTTTTCAAATTTTGTTGGATTTATTTATTTATTTAACTCTAAACTTTGACCAATTAGAGAATTTAATTTATTAAAGGTTTTAGAAAATTCCATAGTGAAGATATACTGCAGTCTCTCAAGTTTGGAGGGTTTCAAGCAATCATCATATTTGCCAGTGTCAAATGGTTCATGCCAGACCAGAGAAGATTTCGTAATTTCTGGAATTGGACAATTGAGCCAAAGAATCCAATGTATTATTTCAAGGTAATTTATTCACTGTTTAAATAAATAAAAGACCTGTGGCTTACTTTTAAAAAAGAATAACCATTATAAAGCCTAACAACATAGTTTACATTGGTTTATAAATGGCTATGATTTTTGTTGATGTCATAGTTATTCAATAACGACATGCTAAATGTCGAAACACAAGGGTGTCGTTTGTACTTTTCTCCAAAATGTTCACTTCACAAGATCATGTAAAATGATTTTAATAAAGTAAGAAGAATAGATATGATACATCTGTATTATAATTGTATGATAGAAGGACTTCATGCCTGTCAAGTTCTGCCTACATATTCAAATGCAAAAGGCACTATGTTCAGCAATAGAATTGAGGTAATGCTTAAAATTGTCCAAAAATTCCATGGGAGAATGAGCCATTAAAGACTTCTATAGAGATTGGTTGTAGATGAACAATTCAGTGAATCACCAATGAACCAGTCAGATTTCCAAGCTACAGGTGACATCAAGTACACCGTAGAAACTACACTTTTGAATTATTATAAAATAACCATATGAGTTAAGTTGAATATTTAACCAAATGTTGATGGATAATGCACCTACCATTCATTACTTTTTATATACACCGAAGATTTCCCGACTACATTACTTAGTTTTTAATTATTGAAAAAAATGTTTCTGAACTGTTTTCAAATTAGTCAAGTGTAGAATTGTACCATTTCCCGCTGGTTCCCAACATCAATCAGCTACATGTGGACTATCACAGATAACACTAGGATGCTATTGGTTCTCCAGCACCTAACACAACAGCTTTGGTACTTTTTACAGGATCAACTACTTACTTACTGATCTCTACGGTTATTTCTCTGGATGAGATATCTGGAGTCCCCTGGAGTCTGGCTTATTCATTTGGTATTTGTATATTTGCCAACTTTGGTCTCTAGTTTCATTTTATTTTTTCTGTTTATTTTGTTAAACTTCATCAAATTCAGCAAAGATATTATTAACCTGATTTTGAATGTTTATATATTCAGATTGAACTTGTGAACATGGGGGAACTGATCCACATGCTCAATCTTGATGATGTGGAGAGTTCTTTGATGTGTGCTCTGAACTTTTTATCACCAGGTAAGAAAAAATACTGAATTGTAAGGAAAACTTTAATATTATCAAACTTAATCTCCTGACCATTTTGATATGCTCCATTATAATGACCTGCTCAAATCTAAATCATAAAAGGGCATTTAAGAAACCAGTGGCTGAGTTCACAATCTTTTTTTAGTTTGTTTGTTTGTTTGTTTGTTTGTTTGTTTGTTTGTTTGTTTGTTTTGAAGTTCATCTTGTGCTAAATTCCCATTTCAAGATCATGATTAAAATTGCCTATCTACACATAATTGATACCTAATGATGACTTCGTGAAGTTGATCCCAGAATGGTAAAAAAATATTTATTTTTTAGATTGGCATGGGCTTCAGAACCCAGATCAGATGGAAAAGGCAAGGCAGATGTACCTGCAAGCCTTGCTGGCTCACATTCAAGGTAATTTCTGTTGTCAGAGAAATAGCTTATATATATTAGCTATATATAAAAGTTAAATGTGATTCCCTGAGTTTAAGACGTGACCACTGATTGCAATGATAAATTTGATAAATTTTTTAATTTGGTCTCGGATACTTTTCAACAAGTTCATTGCTGTAAATTATTACCTTTTTAACATTATCACACATGTTTGTGTATCATGAACATTGGCATTTGAACATCAATTGTATAAGATTCAAGAATTATCTTTAAAGTGGTAAAGTGCTACGTAGATGTTTCAAAAAATGTCCAATGTCTGGGTCTGCAGTTCCTGGTATTTTGGTATTTTTGTATTGCAGAAAAATACTGTCATGGCATCAAGCGTCTTCAGATGTTGCTTGCTCTGATGCCTCAGCTCCGTTACCTTACAGTGTGGCACTACCAGCTCCTGAGCAGTGTGAAAGTGACCATTCCTTCCTCTGACTCAGACAAAAAGTGATACAGGAAATAGTTGGAATTTTCATACTTAAGAATGGCATTCAGGACCAAAGACATCATAAAAAATGTCCTGTGACACAGATAAAAACAATTAAGAACTCTAGTACAAACGTGAAACTGTTGCAAATATTTATTACAGTATGATATTATTTGAGTTAAATATTTTGTTTTAGTCAGTGCAGAACTGTACTAAAAATACTTCTAATTCTCTGAAAACTATTAATACTTCAGATATTTTGAATGTATTTATTTCTTTATATTGCTGCTAGTGCTAGAAAGAAGTGGAAGTTATTAATTTCTTTAGTCAGACCCAATCATTATTCCTATTTGCCAAAGACATACACCCCATTTCCATAGATTTTTAGATCGATCTATCCCTGTGGGGAGTCTCACTATATTACTGTCAGCTTGGCAGGCTTAAGCGTCTGTCCCGCCTACTATACGCTGTAAGGGGGTAATTAACTATGGTGTCCGCTCGGCTGACTGCAATTTAGCGTGAACTCCCAAGGGAGTTAGGTCGATCTAAAACTTAATCTTTAGATCGATCTAAATCTCTGGGAAAGCACCCAAAGTGTGCAGGTAGTTTTCAAGGACCATCAGACCATAACAGTTAAATATTAATGATTAGCTCACCAAGTTGTAGGTAATTTTGATTCTGAAATAAGGCAGTTTTCCATCCTCTGAACTACTCTCAACCTCTCTGAGAGGTACTATGATATCAGCTCTGAACTACTTGAAATCTTTGATGTTATGTTCATTATTATACAGTAAAGCGGTTTTGTAGGTCTATCCTGTTTCTGTGATACTATTGTCTAAGTATGGCACGCATGTAGTGCACTTGTTGTGCAGAGTTCATATGTTTATTTTTACACAAATATGGTATAGTTATATGTCAACATGTATATTTTAATATACTTATAAGTCTACATTGTGGTGGTGGACCATATTTGATCCTCTATTTTTGTTTTGTGGTTGTCATGAATTTATATTATTTTAAGAACTTGGAGCAGCTGTAAAGTCCAATATGATTGTTGTAATATGCAATAGCTATAAGTCAAGATTTTATGAATCAAGATTTGATTTAGTTCAATGCCATTAATCAAATTGGGCCAACTAGGTAGTAAAAAACTTATCGCTTAGAATGCTGCTGTGACTAGAATCTGATAAGCAGCCTAATTAATTGATTTTTTTCAAGCAATCATTTGCAGGTGGGCAAAAGCTAAGGTAAAATAAATATAAAGGTTATACATGCATTTTATTGTTAATATTCAATTTAAACTGTGATATCCTTGTGAAAATAACAGTGAACTGAAGAAATACATTTATAATCCCACTAGCTAGAGATCCTTAGTATGATTTAAGGGTACTGACAGGGTTTTTGATCATCAAAATACCGAAAATGAGTTTTTTCATGTATCTTATAATTATTTTGATTTATTAATGATATAATCTGAACTAAGGCCTTTAAGTAAAATCACTGGCAGGGCTTTAATTCCTGACATTAATTTGGCATTGGAACGGTGTTTGTGGGTCATCAGGTAAAGGAGAAAATTGAGAAACCGATTTTGCAATTTTTACCCCAAAATCACAATTATGATGTCATCAGTACAATGGCATTGATGTAACTGCTAAGATATCAAGTCGATGAGCATTGAAGATTCATCCATTATCCAAGAAATTGTTTGTAAGGTAGTAAATCCGTTGTTTTTGGCTAACCCTGACAGTACCCTTAACATTTTACCCTGTAAGTAGCAACTAAATCATGCTAAGTTCATGTATTCTAGACTTCATAATTATAAATATTGGTCTATAAATTAAATCATGCAAGAAGAAACAATCTATGAGGTTGTAGATATAAATTGTGTTTAGTCATATTTTGATCTTTAAGTTTACCAAACTCCTTCAACATTTCTTTATTACTCATAAAGAAAAAAGTTATTCATAGATTTTTTTATTTCAAAAATTTAGAATAGGTACAGCATCTATCAAGTAATGTGTGTTGTATGCAATGAAGGGGTTGTAAGATTTTTTTCTTTTATTTGTTTTAATTTGATTCATTATTTTATTATTATTTATCATTGTTATTGATTTTTTTAAAGGTGCAATAAGACATAATTGGCAGGTTTGATTATATCAGGAATCCCTGATGTGATGTTGATTTTTCAATATTTTCTTTGATGCACATTGGAAACTGTGTAAGCAGACATTGTATGTGATCTCATATTATGGTGTTAATTTACACCCAATTTTATAATGTATTAAATATAACTAAGTTATGAATTAGAAAAGTAATTACTATACACTTAAATGTAGAAACCAAAGTCAATCTGAAATCTTACAACAATTGAAACGTTGCATAAAGGTGCATTTTCTAGACAGATTTCTCCATGAAATGCCTTTGTGATTTGTGGTAACATTGTTTTCAAACTTCAGGGTCTTATTTTTATGTCAACTTCTAAACAACATTTCAGTAATTTCATGGTAGTCAGTAATCAGGTACAACTCTTTACACTCACATATGGAAGTAATGTTAGTTAAATTAGGGAATTATATTAAGTTCAGTTAAGTTTTTTATGTACTGACACAACATGCCACTGTCTGTCATTGTCGATGTCTATCATCATGGAGCAATTTTTCACTGTTAACACAATAAATGGATAACCATGTTCTTTATTATTCACAATCATACTGCAGTGACCCATAAATACAGTTTTGAATAGCAGTTTTATCTGGGTCATTTTTTAAACTTATGCAGTATTTTAAGGCCCATGCCAGTTACATTTTCTGAATGCCCACATTAACACTATAACATAATAAAATTAGTGGTGATTATGTTGTTACACATTATGTAATGTTGTTTTTTGCACTGTTATCATAATTTTTGGCTTTATGTCTGTACATTATCAGACAAAAATGAAAAGGGAAAGCAGGTTGTATTTTACTTAATTTTAACAATTACCTCTTATGGTTATGTTTGCCATTTATTTTGTGAGTAAATAATTATATAGTTTAATTACATTTTGTGAGTATAAACTAACATGTAATCTTTTGCACTTGAAATTATCATTGTCTTATACATCACAAGTTAGCTCAAAGCCCAGTGATACAACTTGACATTCCAACAGGATTGGGGAGGCTGCAATATAAAGTATGTTTGATTTAACCATCATAATTGATGCATCATTTTGATACAACAGACTATTATGTTAGTGTGTGATACAGTTGCTGCTGGTATTAATTAGAGGGATCCAAGTGTTCTCTGCTCAGTAGCAAGTGTAGCTATGGATGTATTGTGATAGGTATTTCACAAGGATGAAATTGCCACCCTTCTTCACCCCACATAAACCTTCCCTCCTCTTGGTTAGAGGTAAAGTTTGCTTTTTCTCACGCTTTTGCAGTTCTGAAATCATAAACCGAGTGGGCACATATTATGTAGGCATGCTAAAATGCACTAAGACACAAGTTCCTCTGGGAATTCTCAAAATGAAAGGTACATTGTTAATCAAATAAAATTGTGTGTACCATGAATTGAGGCCAAAAACCATCAGTGCCTTGGCATCTTAGGATTGCATGACTTCCCTTGGTACAATTTAATCACAGTTGAGCCAAGTGTCTAACAGGTAGTGCAACTTGGAATTCGTTTCTCAAGTTAAGCCATACAAGTTCAAATTTCATTTGCTTCTTTGAAACCTAAAGTGCACCCATACAGGTGGCCATTTCATTCCCTTTTAAACATGGGTGAATTGCATTGAAAAAAGTCCTTGTTGTCAAATAAGGTTTCTCCTTTGAAAATGGAAAGTATTTTCTGTGTAATGGCCAAGTAAGAAGCCTTTAAGGGGAGGGAGGTAGGGAGGGTATAGGGACAAAACCTTATTTGATGGCAAGTACCAATAACTATATTGCATGCTCACTCATAGCAACGAAAGATCTGCTTCCCTCAATCAGCCACTTTTTTTCCCCCCAAGTTCATTTCTCCTGCTATGAACTCCGCATAGTCTAGTCTTTCATCATTTAATTGTTCTATGTGTATTGCATTATTGTTTGAGTTAGTACCATTGTTTTAAATACAAAAATGGCAAAAAAAAATTATATTGTTAGGCTGCTGGATTTGGTTAAATTTGTTTCACAAGTTTGAAAAAGGAGGTCTTTTCTGTGATGTGGTTAATAAATTATTTATTCTAAGGGTGGACATTTTGTTTGTTTGCATCATTGGACACACATGTCCTTCATATCAAAGTTCCTTGAAATGTGTGTTCATTACCATTTGGTAGGACTTTACCTTACTTGTTAATTACCCCCTACCTGCTCCAGGAGGCATGTCAGACTATTAAGCTGATTCTACTGATTGCACTTAGAGAAAATCCCTGCAGAGTTGGATCGACCCAGCTGGGTCTATCTGAATGCTGTCTTTGGGCAACTGGGGGTTGGGGCTGCCCCTGGGGGGGTGGATAATTCTTAATTCCTTTCACATGGTAATTTCTGTGAACTCCTAAGTCATAAGAGTGAGGAAATTGGAACTTTATAGACATATCACAAGGGAATTGCATGGGCACGTTTGGATTTTACTGTGTCTGGGGGCTTGGTTGTCTATGGGGGGGATAATTCTAATTGTTTTACATTGTAATTTCTGCTTTCTCCTCCTAGACCATTATAGTGAGAAAGTTCAAACTTTGGGAATTGGTAGACCTATCATCAAGGATGTGCATAATATAAACATAAGCACTTCAGAATTGCAGTGCTATTTGGGGTTGGGCTGTTCGGGGAGGGGGGGGGGGATAGTTGATTCTAAATTTTTCTCACATTGTAATTTCTGGTAACTCATCATAGACCATGGAAGAAGTTCAAACTTTTGTGATTTGGAGACGGAAGTTTGTGAACTACTTTCCTGCAATGTACTTAAAATTATAACACACTGAAACTCCATGACACCGATTTCTGCCATATGATATTGCAGTTGCCCGTTACATGTTTAAATATCGAAAAGTATTATTTACAGGTCTTTCCGATATAACCAGGTTTTGTTTTATCTCTCCCCCCCCCCCAACACACACACACACACACACACACACACACACACACACACACAGACTAATTTTGCTTTGAAATTACAGCCTCAATACTTAACAACACAGTTTAATATCCTTTATTTCTTCACATATCAGATATAGTCCCTTAAACTCTTTAGCAAAATGTACAATCAGCTTAGCAGTACACATCTTTGGTTATTGAAAGTTAACTGATCGGTTACTAGTTATTGAATACATATAAACAGATAAAGCTACGAATGTTCTGTACACAGTTAAGGATGATTTAAGTTTCCGTTATCCCGTGTATTTTTTCACATTAGACTGAAAGACTAGAGGAATTTAACGTTTTTCATTGCCACACTAACGAGTAGTTAAATCATGGTCGACCAATGGCAAAATTATGCTTTCAAATACCTACGTTTCTGTTTACAAAAGTTATTTTCTTTTCATATGTGTTGTTGCTCAATAATTTCAAGAAGCTTGATCTCAAACGTACAGCCAATTTCTTTATTTAAAAAGAGATTTCTGTCAACGATGATACTTTTGCGTTATTTATGTAATCAAATGACACGTAGTCTAACAGTAGGTCTCAAAGCAGTTATCAGTAAAACAACCTGCCTCATACTAGACGTAGGCTTTATATTTAGGTCTTTTACGGATTCATAAAATTTACACAAAAAGTAATTACTTGCTGTTATAACCTTTGTCTGCATTAGTAGATAAATAAATAATTAGAACCCTCAGACGTCTGGGGCATATTACTTCGCCACATTAGTTTCTCGGTAAGTTGAGTGATGAAGATATTGATTTACTGCTTCCCGATTCATGGAAATTATTAGTCAAATTGGTTGCAAATGCGAAGAGTTCAAAGAGTCTAGTTAAGTACAAATACGAACATCAGTTTGATTTTAAATCTTTTTCGAACTATTTGTATTTTTTTATTTAAGAGTCGTTGAAACGCAGAGGACCTTTAAATAATGTGATAGCAGACACGAACTTGTCTTATCTGCGATAATTTGGTTTCAATAAAAATAGTCCATTTTTTTCTGTTGGTATTTTACCATCAATCAACCTACTTTCAAACTTATGAAAACTTCGCTATTGGCAAATACTAGGCCGCCAAAATTAATTCCCATTTCCTTTTATTAATTGCAGTCTAGAAATAACGCCGTGAAATAATGTTATTGCACACGACTCTTTTGAACAATATGCTATTACGTCCGTCTTTAGCACCGCCGGATTTCATATATTTTTCAGAATTTTCTGCTTTGCCAAATGCGTTTCCATCAATTTTTCAGACACAGACACAAAGACCTAGATTTATCACAAACTATACAGATACGTTTCCACTGTGAGCCAAGATATGAAACAAAATTACAGTTTCACACTCCGCTCTATTTGGGTGGCTCTCGATATATCCACGCGCCGTACTTATAATCATCTAAATATTCAGTTATGTACTTGTATCCCAGCATGTGGTCGTAGCTCCAGCCAACGCCGCCGTGTTTTTCATGCATACAGTACACACACATTGTGCTTGTTCCCGTTGCATCTTGTAATTTCTTCTTTATGTAGCTTGCTCGTTGCAGACAGTCTGAATACTCCCCTTCTGCTTCTTCACCGCAGAGATTGGCAAAACTGTTCACCAAGGCAATGAAGAGGTCTGGCTTGATGTTTGCTTTTGGTTTCTGTCCTTCAGACTGCTTCCAGATTATATATTGGTAATCTCCGAACCATTCCTCTCTGTACCAGCCCTTTTGGTGTTCCAAAACGAAGTTCACGTTTGCCGGTTTCTTTTTGACAACAGCAGCAAAATCCCCGCCGAATTCTCTCTCGCACGTCAGCTGCAGATTGTGTGCTCTTTCTGAGAGGTCGGCGCTGTCTCCAGCAACTTCGTCCATTGGGAAACCAAGAAACCTGAGCAGATTGGCTTGTTCGGTTTCATCTGGAGTTGTTGATAATTCAGGAATGGTTCGCAAACTTGTTCTATCACGACTCGCCATTTTAGAGTTGCTGAAAAAATAATTACACATAAGTCTAAGGTTCTAATATGAAAAGAATCATTGATCAGCTTGGTGATAAAACGTTTAAATGCAAATTAATAATTTTTAATGACAAATGTTACAAACTACTTCCTGGTAGAAAGGAAACAGACATACAGGTAATCACGTTAAGAACTGTCTAAAATATGTCACTGGAATAAGACAGTCCGATAGTTCCATTTGGGATTAATAAGTCGGAGAAATGTTTCCCTAGCGAGAGGGGCGTGTCCGATATAATGAATAAATGAATGAATGAGGACCCAATAATATTAATTACTGGTTTGGTCTCGAAATATGGCCCTGGGAAATTACAATGGCACCAAGTGGTATTTCTCCTTTTTTTAAGACTTGACATTTTCATGGTCATTTATATCCAGCAACTGACTAACGAAAGGTATGTCTTTCGATGTAGTTTTTTTTTTTTTTTTTTTTTTTTTTTGCTTTAAGAAGCTTAACATTGATGTTGACAATGCGTGACTCGATGTCACGTACTTCTACGACGAGCAGACGACACTTTTCGCGTCATCTCGCTATTTTTACACCACTAAAGGTCATTTTCCTACTGCAGCTGACAGTTTAATAATGGTTTTGATGACGTTAAGAGTAGGCGGCTTTACACATACCATCTCATCAACGTGTAATAGATTCAGTGACCCAACGTCCTACACATCCTTGCCTACATAGCATTCGCCTTATTCTAATTCCTCATGAATGAGTTCCACATCTACCACTAAACTTTAGTCACAAAGATATTGTTGGGAGATGTATTGGCGAAGTGCAGAATTCTATTCGCATTTTAGACCCCTCCCCCATGTGTGTTTCACCTTTTTTACAGATTCAAGAGATATTTTATCATTTCAGTGTTTAAATTTGAATGTCCAACTTATAAGAGGATTATCAAAAACACGCTTATAATGTGTCAATCAAAAGCCTATTTGCCTTCAAATTTGTCATTATTGTTCATTTATCTAGGAAAAGATAAGCTTGTTAAATTTTGTCAAGTACGTTTTATGGTATGTGTTATCAAAACTGCATTATTCCATAGGCTGTCTGGCCCTTATCGAAAGATAATGGGATTTGGTCGAACTTCGGAGTAGGCCTTTAGTCTTTCCTAGTTTTATATCTTTTTGTCTCCAGTACGTGCACAATGGCCATGGAAGTAATAAATACCTCTCATTGACCACTGTTCAAGTGGGATGTCTATAGGACTGTGGACTCCCTTACATCTCCATTAGGGGCCTACATGTATAACGTGCCTAGCGTGAGAGAGTGGGCCATAACCAGAATAGCCGCCCCTCCACATGACATTGGATAATGCTAAGCACCTGCCGATCTGGGGATCGAATTTTTTCATTTAAAAATTCAGAGTGTATAGAGACGTGTAGGCCAAATATCAAAAGTTATTATCTGAAATACTTTTGCTTGCTAGGTAGAACATCGAAATTATGTACCTGGCTTTAAAGATGTCTAATCCCCTCGAACGTTGGCTATTCCCCGGTCTGATTCCCTGAAAAACGTGATATGATAAACTGCACTGCGCACCAATATGTTTGCATAAATAGGAGTGATTATGAGGTAATCTAAATGATGAATGTTCTCTGGGGATAACTGGCAAATGACAAACTGCTCTACACGCAATATTTAGTGTAGTGTTTCCTATAGTAGCTGTTTTGCGTACAGGATAAAACGAAGTGGTCCTGCCCCAGAGAGGAATGTTTACCTAGCTCCTATGATATAATGTTCTTTTTAAAGAATGTTAAAACATGTGTTACGTGTGGTAGGAATGCTGTCTGTGCTGTGTGGACTGTCACTCTAATGCACCTATGTAGGCTACAGTTAAAACCTTGATTAGATTAGAACTCGTTTATAATTCTTTGATCAATCAGAAAGTTTGCTTATAATCAGAATGTTCTCACATCATCACACTCAAGTAACCTGAAAGGGAAACGCCTTCCATTTGAAGACATTTCTGCCTGTATTTCACACCCATACAGTCCCATCAAATAGACCTCAAAGAATTTTGACTTACCTTTCAAATTGGGTGCAGAATTATTCAGGACAAGTCTAAGCTACGTCTGTTGTGTTCTCCTTCCTTCATCAACAGTATGGATTCTGACAGGTCGCTCTGTATCCAGCCCTGTCACTGCCCTGTATCCGACCGGTACGGACACTTTACTCTTCCTTTTCAGCTTTTTCTCGCTAAATAATATGAGTCAGGCGAGATGGCTGCCCTTTCATGGATTGACCTAGTTATTTCCCTGTATATCTCTTTTGTATCGTATGATGAAGCTATGCACTGGAGATTGTATTAGCTGAACCGATCTAGCTAATATGAGCCGATACACTGTGCGCGTTAAAAATGATGGTTAAAGAAACATTCTGGTAGATTGGCACCGAAGACATCCTAGGGTTTAAAAGTAGTTTAATTTACATAAACTATACCACAGCAATTGTTTACTTTCGTTTGTTTTTGTTGGTGGTAAAACAGTAAAAACTAATCGCGATGTGAAGGTAAACGGACAAAACCCATACGGACCTAACAGGCATGATAAGCAATACGGAAGCGTCAACTCGCCTATCAAGGATTACAATTGAAACGCCACACTAAAACCCGATGAATGATTAGCGAATGACGCAAACCCTCTTCCCTCGCAATATATTGAAAAATTATACTCCCTACTCTGACATTTAAAGGAAAAAATCAGTTTACTAAATATTGGGGAACGCATTTCGTCATTCTGACAGAAAGCGCCTAAAGTGCATTTCCACGTTGTCATTGATGCAAACACTTTCCCCAAAAGGGGCGGATCTAGGATTATTTGAAGGGGGGGGGGGGTCTGGGGATGCGAAGCCGACTCTCACCCCCCCTCCCTTTGACATGGAGTTAGGGCACGAAAATTTTTAGTATTTTAGAGGGCGAACAATGCCATTTTTACGGTTTAGAACTATGATTAAGCTAGTCAAAATTCTAATTTCAAGAGGTTACCATTAGTGTGATTTTTTTCAGACCCCCCCCCCTCTAAATCCGCCACTGCCCTACCTCTGAACATATACAGACAAATGCACTCTACACACTTGGTTTTACTGTAGTGCTCGGTTGAGCAACGAGTCTCGGTTTTTGTATATACATTCACGACAAAGAAGAAATAAATATTACTTAAGGGTTTCTGTTCCAAGACATAAGAATTATTAATTGGTGTGTGTGTCATTATTCGCTTTACTGGTTATTCTAAATTGGCAAAACTTTCAACAGGTGGTCGTGAAAATTTTAGAGTAAAACTTTAAATTGATTCAGTTGCTTGATACTTCTGTGAAATAATCTCATATGTGAAAACCAAAGAAAAATTTTAAAGTTAAAAGTTAAATGACAGTTTGTGCGATTTGAAAATGAAACAAAAAGCTTAATATAAAACATCCTCAGAAATGTACCAATAATAAAAAAATCATCATCTTATTAACCCTAAAATAACATGCAGTGTAAGACATATCTTTATTTGTCGTGCACTTAGCCTGACTTAAGAAAATGATGATAATAATGTGTACTTTAAAATCTCGCTCAACGTTCGTCCTTTTGTGTACAATGTAAAGATTTAAGATAAAAACTTGTAAATCTAAAACACATGTATCATCTAAAATCACGAACAACGTGTCTTAAAATTCTAAAGTCAACTAAATAGTCAATTACTGGGAAATGCTTAGTTAAATAAAACTACATTATCGTTTATAGTTATCTGTTTTACATCATATGCACCCTTATAAATTTATTCCAAATAAGATAGCAAAACTTGAAACGTTTCAGTTATTTCCTATCGTAAAGCATGGCCTCAGTCGTGGCATTGAGAAAAAGTACGGATTATTGGAAGGAAACATTCCGCTACTTTAGACGACGAAGTCACATGAAATGTCCCCGTAAAAACCCAACCCCGGGCACCAGGAATCGCTGGATTAATTTGATTAGAAGGAAACATTATACAGTTAATGTGCATTTGTCTAGGCCCGGCGACGTTATCTAACGATAACGTTGATCTAAACCTGAACGCATTCCTGCTGAAAACAAAAAGAGCATCAAAGACACTTTCATTGAATTTTTTGGTTTGATTTATTCTAATGTAAAGGCAATATCTCTATCATGACAGCAGTATAGCTGCGTCCGTAGTACAACCATTCAGTTAGAAGTTGGATGTTTACAATTAAATACACCTCATCGAAGTTTGGCGCATCGCACAACTGATGCAGAAAATCCTACCCTCTACCAGGGCCACAGATGGATTTTTCACTAGATATTCACAGATATGTCTCTGGGTATTAATGACACGATCCTCTGCTGTGAGAAAGTGCACATATTTAATCGGCTGCTCTGGTAGAGGATAAAGAAAACCTATGTGGACGTAAAAACATTTTCATCCACAAACTTAAAAACGAGGCCATCGGTAGGCCTGCCAAAACTTAACCATTCAGTGATAAGATAATAAATTCTCCTTGATGTATTGCGTCATGTCTAACAGTCTTCCTCGCTACTTTAATCCTTGTTTCACACTCTAGGTGATGAGACTGGCACACAGGCCTACACAGGCCAAGTTATAACGTCATTTTTGCCCATGTCTCCACCTAGTGGCCAAACAAGGTCGACAGCACCGAGAAAGACTGCAACAGGTAGCAGTTGAAAATGTCTTCACAAATGTTACATTTTTGCCAACTATACCGAAAAAGCTGGGATTGTGTCAATAAAGCATACGCTTTTATAATACATGCAATCATTGTTAAAATTAGCTTATTTTCAAGACATTAAAATAAAGAAATAATGATAAAAGTGTAATGTTTTACGCAAAAAGATGTAGCCTATGTACATTCCATCCCAACGATTTCTAATTTAAGTGGAAAATGTTTTAAACTTACAAAATATGTGGGTATTACCTCCAATATTTCTGTGACTGTCAGTCACCATCATCAGGGAGTAAATGACTAGGGTCATTTCACCTGGAATGAAAATCCAGGTCAATTGCCCCTAATCAGGTAATACCCACATATTTTGTAAGCTCTTGATAAAAAGAAAAACAATAATTTAAATTGATACATACAGAGCTAATGAAACTGTTCTCTCATAAAGCTACATGGTTTTCATAAAGGTGTATGTTATGGTGCCAAATTGAAGTGCGCATGATTGACAAGAAGGACGCTGAACCATTTGCAGTCAGGAGGCACATGTTGAGGCATTTTTGGGCTCAAAGATTGCGTGCAGCAATAATGACGCATATCTCTGGTTTCAGGGACACTTTGCGCTACAGCACATTACTTTTACAGTTGATTATTCTGGCTGTTCCAGGTACTTCAAGAAATTATGCCTTCCTACTCATTATATGCTTGTAGGCCGTGAGCAACTTTAATTGAACAGCCGAGTGACTACTTTTAAGATATACACTGTATTCTATACCGCGTTTAGTTTACTGTCACACCAACAAAAAATCTATAAAATTAAATCAAAAAGGTGATGTGTGTGTGTGTGTGTGTGTGTGTGTGTGTGTGTGAGGTATATAAATGCTATAAACATATTAAACAACTTTTGTGTTAAACTAAAAAAGAGTATCTCCCGTCGTAGATATCAACGTCATTGCTCTTTATAATTTCACAATATAGTTCGTTGTTAGAAAAGGGTAAAAGAATCCATGTACAAGCGTAGTAGGCCTGCATGTATGTCGAAGTTCTTTGTTTCTGTAAAATCTAATCAGTAGGACTATCGATCAAAACACTAGATAAACCTGATGGTTTTTGATCAATGATGAATTGCCTGACTGGAAGCACGTTATTAATAAATCATGACGCTGAATGTACCATCCGAAATACAATTGAAATTTAAACAAGCATACAGCAGACCGAGATTTCAGTTTCTTCAAGTAGACACGGGACTAATTTATATATACATGCACCATCAATTTTCGTACTGTCTATATCTTCCTTACATTCAACACTTTAGGCCGTCGTAATGACATTTCAGGAAATTGATTGGTCTGTAATTGCAACTAGCCTCCCGCTTTTCATTTATTCTTTTTATCCTCGAAAGGTTCAAATATATTTAGTATATTCGCCTTTCATGCGATCAGATATCTGCCAATTAGCCATCCTGAAGTTATAATACAACCAATTCAGTGATGCCTTTCTGCTTTTTCCTGTTCTTGTTCCAGTTCAACAAATGCTTTATCCTCTTTCATTACATTTTTCGAGTTCGATATATCGTAATTCTTTGATATCAAAAACCCTCTTCCTACTGCAAGGATTAAGTGCAGGGCGTAAACATAGTTACAAATAAAATCCAAATCGATTCACCGATCAAATCCTTTCTGATGTGGGAGTTCATCGCAGTTTTCATCTTCAATAGAAGACATTTGCTAGCAGGTCCGTGCCTTTTTGTGCAGAACGAATAATGTTCCTACGGCAATATTCATCAAGGCGGATATCACCACCAGCCACAAAGACCAGGCCACACCGGTTCCTGCCAGATCTTCTTTCACTTTTGTTCCGTAGATTATTACTCCAACTAGCATGGTGAATGCTGAAAAGCAATACATTATTGTAGTAAAAAATAATATGTTGTATAAGTTTATAAATTAATAAAATAGAAATGAATAGATAAATGATGAAAACAATTACGAACAAATGCTTTTCAGTGGAAAAGCATATATAAATATATAACACATATACATATCCTGTCACGGAAATGTGTGGTAAGATTTGAAATGAAATTATACGAGATTTGGTAAAATGTAAATGTTGCCCTAACAATATATAGCGACTCTAAATTGGAAAATTGTCCGTCTGAATACAAAAAGGTCACCAGAACAATAGACCCTTTTTGTGTAGACCCAACTAAAGCTTTGAAAAACTAATATTTAGGGGTTTTAGTGGATGCATTTACGGTTCATAAATCAGGAGTGCAGAATCTCATGACAAGGCGCTCTGATCGTGCCAACCTGATCAAAGCAATCGTCTGCGGGTTAACAAATCACATCCTTAGGGGGTTCACAGCGGCCAAGAAGTTTTCAAATTGTATCAATACCACATCGATCTGTAACAATTATGCTAAAACTTTCACTCAAAGACTATGCAAGTTGATAATCTCATTATTCTGTAGATGATGTTATAGTTTTAAAGCATTTCACTGATGCGAATTATTCTACGGAAGGATGGGGAAGGTGCTTTTCCCAAGATATAGCACAGAGCTCATTTCTAAAAAAAAAATAATGATAATAACTCACACTGAAATAAGTTACATAGGGTGGCGATTTAAGTCCGACGATTTAACGCCGATGTAAGTTGAGTTGGGTGAGCTCACACTTACATGTACTAGCGTCAGCTTTCATAATTCCAGTATAGTACATCTTAACTGGTTTTATATTTTCAATAATTTAACAATATTGAAAAAAGTGGAGCGTTGATATTTGTACAAATAGAGTTCAATAAGTGTCAAGACTTTTACTGAACTGAGGGCGGTCACGGAGCAAAAGTACGCAAGCTGACTAAAATATATCTGAGGCATAATGCCTATGCAATGAATGATTCTCCCCCCACCCTTCCTCCAAATAAAATCCTGAATCCAGCTAGTAGATTGCCGTCATAATCAGGATTCCATTTTTCAGACACAGTCCTGGTTTTGGCAAAAACCACTAGTCAAGTAATTTATTGTTTCTAAAATAAAGAAAGTAAAGCTGAATGGCGTGACGAGTATACTGGTATTCTATGCATAGTCAATGTTCAGCTGCTAAAGGCAAACTTCGTTGCAACTCGCTGACCGTGGTTTAAGAAGGGTCACGCCGCATTCAACCAGTTGCGCTACATCACCACTACCGCAATCATGATGAATGCACCCCTTGCATTCCTTGATTCTCTTCTATAAAACACACACACACGAATCTATTTCTTAACTCTTTTTTTCAAAACATCAAAGTACTGTTTTTTTTACCTTTAGCCTTCAGATATGTGGGTGTAAAATAAAAATCTATGTATGGCAAAACTCACATCGAAATACGTGCTTAGAACATATCTGATTCACAATGTGCATATTTCCTTTTCATTTTTCCTTCTCCAAAAGCATTTCATCACTGTTAATTACTTCAGTGGTGTTAATATGGTGTTAATATCAATAATTAATATCATGTCAAAAATTCCAGTTTTGCGCATGTGCATGAGTAATATCTAAATGAAAAAATCTTATGTTACAATAATGCTTTAAAGAAAATTATTTTATCCCACAATATAACAGAAGCTACTTATGTTATGTATTACTTTTGATATCCCTAATTCTAATCACGACGTGAAAGTGACATAGACGCGTGTACTGGCATTCAAATGTATGAGGAGCAAAAATACTTTTCCCCAGCCGTAGCCAGGATAAACAACGTACCATATGAACGTATTAATCAAACTAACATGGGGCCAAGATGAATAAGTAAATAAGATGAAGTAACGATAATGATAACATAGAGAAAACTGTTACAAAAAGATGAGATGAAACTACTGTAAAATCTAAAATTATATTTAAAAAAAAAACACCATATGTACCATGAGATAGATTAAAATGAAAATAACAGATGACTCAAGATCTTTAAACTTGAAATAGAAATTGAGATGATTTGGGCCTCCTCTTTATACAGCGTGGGAGAGAACACACCAGATGCCAGTTAACAGCATGCCTGTCAACATTAATAGGTTAAACGGGAAAACCTTTAGCCCACCTTCGTTTGAAAGTGTCTGTATGAGTTTATATAGGGGGCATTTTTGTTTGATACGTTCAAAGATCAGTACAGGGGCAGTCTGGCGTCTTGACCCCATTTTTAAATAGTAAATATAATTTCAGGAAGGTTTGCTGTTAGAGCAAAGCCGAAATCCAGCAAAATGTTTCAGCTAAGACCACTTTCACATCCAAAGTTGATACGTGGACTAACAGATCTGCGGATCAAATATGGTCGACCCACTTGAAAGCTTACCGCATAATCGCTGCAGGGGATCTATTCAGTGTCTATTCAGTGTCTATACTGCAATCTTTCAAGTGGGTCGGCCATATTTGTGAATCTGTTGGTCCGAGGATCAACTTGTTCTGAATGGCCCCTTAACCAAACATAACTTTTTTTTTACTTATGACGCACCCTGATTTCAACAATATATATCTAACAAATATATTAACACCCGGATTGTTTTATCATATGTGTGCTGTGTTTTTATATCGCTACAAAATCTGTCATCGTCACCTCCTGGCACTGGATAAAAATGAACGCGCGCACTTGTTCACCTGCAGGTGATTTTCTTCTTCTACGTTGGGCAGTGAGTTATTATTGTTCAAGGCCCCAAGCCGCTGCAACCTCTTGAACGGATGCCATTATTTTAATCATTTGCCAATTAACGCCCATGTCAGATGAATATTCTGTTTATTCTTACTATGTACAGTTTTGCTAGGTTGCATGGAGCCTTTGTAGAACTGCCCGTGACAGACCAAGAATCGTGCCCACGCCTGAAATGAAGATCTTCCCAGTTGACTAATATCAAGAATTATTGGTACTACATTCTTAGTATTATGTAAAACAGGGTCTAGAACGTGAGGAAGTCAGCGATCGCATTGCACAAATGCAATCAAGGGTCGTTTTCTATTGTGTTTCGCGTTGAGAAAGAGAGAGAGTCCGGCGAGAGAGAAAGTTGGCTGATTCTTGCGGGAAACTGCAAAGGGTGTGCTGACGTTCGCCCCCGGCTGTCTGACTAAAAATCTTACCCTTTTTTATATCCATCAAAATGACTTAATGATTCAAGTGCCCCAACATTTATCATCCTAACAATTCTAACAAATTTGATTTCAACAATTAATCATTGCTTTTTACCATCCCCAGTGGTCATATCTCTCCATATAAGGGATCTGAAAAATAGAATTGCCTTGATGAAGATTGCTATCTTACGTCTTGTATTACGATATTACACAAAAGCTGTTAAATGCTGTGTTTTCTGATTGATGTAGCAATTAAGATGCGTACAATTGATTCCCCAGTATAACTAAATCATACAGGAATTGTCGTTATCAAACGAAAAAGCGCCTTGGAACCGCTTATTTCCAAATGAATATCGACTCATTCAGATCTTCTTTGTCTATTTTCAAATCAGCCTGTAAACCAATGGATGACCCACAGAATAAATTTATGGTCAAGATAATGACACTTCACACTAAATGGGCACTCTCGTTTTTTTTTTTTTTTTTTTTTTTTTTCATATAGTAAACCGCATTTAATGTTTCCCAAACATGACATCAGCTTATATCAAATGATCTTCACCTTGCGCCAAGGCAATGTAGGAAGTGTAGTCAAGTGCACTTGCTCGTCCTTGTGTTAAGAATCTTGGTAATTTTTCATTCTCCTGTCTCGAAATCCGGAACTTATTGTTTTTATTATCAATTCTTCCCAACAAGCCTGCGGACACATATGGTTGGGTGCTGTTTATGAACCATATCATGTACAGACTTTAATGAAAGGGTGCTTCATAAGTCAAAAAAAAGGGGCGCACTTTGACAGTGATGGTCTCAAACCAAGATTATTACTTCGTGAAAATAACTATAGCACTTAATGCTAACCTTTTATTATCTAATAAGAGACTAAACGCAGGGCTGAGAGGGGGCTTGGAGTATATTATGACTGCATTATTGATCTATATTGATTCAAAGAACCCAAAGGAAATGAAAATTCTATCAAGATTATATGCTACAAGCCGAATAGTCAATCATTCCTGACATGTGTAATTGCTTTCAAAGTGGAATCCCTTGCTTTAAGTTGGCCAGAGCAGACTAAATTCGCTTAAAGCATGATCGAAATGGGATTTAAGGAAATCAAAAGTTTTTTCATCCTTTTCTATCACTTTTCCCTAGCCCTAGACACCCATAATGATATCATCAAAATATGCAAAGGCGTGACACTGTGATCTGATGAAGAAAAGATTTTATGAAGTCATAAATCGTATTTCGGTCCAAATTTATTTGTCGACTGAAAACATTCCATCTGTCTGAATTTGTAAATTGGTAATATTATTATCAATTTAGAGCTTTTTCTTGACTAATTAAAAACTCAGAAATTCCTCTGTAAACATTGCCAGTAAACACTGACATTTGTCAGCTGCAGCCCCTAATACGAAGTCACACTCTCTCTAGAACGAATCTGCAAACACAATACCAACCAGCAAAAGGACAGACGGAAATTAAAATGCATACTGTATGAGGCCACGAGTTAATATCACAGAAACGGCGGAGGGTTGCCGAAGCTGAGTAATTGATTGCATTGCAAAGTTCATCAATATTTTTGATGATCAGTATAATGAAGTCGTTTTTCGTTGAAGGCTGCCGTCATGTAAATTTTCGTAGCTGCAACAGGAAGATTAGATAGATCACCGTACAAACAAAAAAAAAAAAAAAAAAGAAGAAGAAAGAAACCAAGCGGCTTAATCATTTGATGGTTGGGAAAGACAACAAATGAGCAGACAATCTATCTTAGTTTAAATATTACGTAAAAGAAAAACAATCCTATGGAC